TCCCCCATACCGGGATTAACGGGACAGGCCCTATGGAACCCCCCATAACTGGGATAACGGGGACAACCCCCCCTATGGAACCCCCCCATCACCGGGATAATGGGAAACAGCCCCCCATGGAACCCCCCCCCTATAACCGGGATAACGGGGAAAGCCCCTGCCCCCACCCTGGACCCCCCATCACCGGGATAACGGAGACAGCCCCGCCCCCCATGGAACCCCCCCCATAACCGGGATAATGAGGAACACCCCCCCCCCCCCCATAACCGGGATAACCGGGACAGCCCCCCTATGGGGCTGGGATAATGGGAACAGCCCCCCATGGAACCCCCCCCCATAACCAGGAGAATGGGAACAGCCCCCATGTATCCCCCCCATAACCGGGAGAATGGGAACAGCCCCCCATGGACCCCCCCCATAACCGGGAGAATGGGAACAGCCTCCTTGGAACCCCCCCCATAACCGGGAGGAATGGGAACAGCCCCCCATGGAACCCCCCCCCATAACCAGGAGAATGGGAACAGCCTCCTTGGAACCCCCCCATAACCGGGAGAATGGGAACAGCCCCCATGGAACCCCCCCATAACCGGGAGAATGGAACAGCCCCCCCATGGAACCCCCCCCATAACCAGGAGAATGGGAACAGCCTCCTTGGAAACCCCCCCCATAACCGGGAGAATGGGAACAGCCCCCCATGAACGCCCCCCATAACGGGAGAATGGGAACAGCCCCCCATGGAACCCCCCCCATAACCGGGAGAATGGGAACAGCCCCCCATGGATCCCCCCCATAACCGGGAGAATGGGAACAGCCCCCCATGGAACCCCCCCCATAACCGGGAGAATGGAACAGCCCCCATGGATCCCCCCATAACCGGGAGAATGGGAACAGCCCCCCATGGAACCCCCCCCATAACCGGGAGAATGGGAACAGCCCCCTTGGAACCCCCCCATAACTGGGATAATGGGAACACCCCGCTATGGGACTGGGATAATGGGAACAGTCCCCCATGGATCCCCCCCATAACCGGGAGAATGGGAACACCCCGCTATGGGACTGGGATAATGGGAACAGCCCCCATGGAACCCCCCATAACCAGGATTAACGGGGACAGCCCCCCCCCATGGACCACCCCATCACTGGGATAACGGGACAGCCCCCCCCTGTGGAACCCCCCCCATAACCTGGACAATGGGAACAGGCCCCATGGAACCCCCCCCATAACCGCAATAATGGGAACACCCCGCTGTGAGACCCGGATAATGGGGACAGCCCCATGGAACCACCCCATAACCGGGATAACGGGGTCAACCCCCCCCCCCCCATGGACCCTCCCTCCCCCCATAACCGGGACAGCCCCCCTATGGGGCTGGGATAATGGGAACAGCCCCCCATGGAACCCCCCATAACCGGGATAATGGGAGCAGCCCCCCATGGAACCCCCCCATAACCGGGAGAATGGGAACAGCTCCCCATGGAACCCCCCCATAATCGGGGTAATGGGAACACCCCCTATGGGACTGGGATAATGGGAACATCCCTGCTTTGGGATCGGGGTAATGGGAGCAGCCCCCTATGGGACTGAGATAATGGGAACAGCCCCCATGGACCCCCCCATAACCGGGAGAATGGGAACACCCTGCATGGACCCCCCCTGAGACTGGGATAATGGGGCCCCACCATGGGCTCTGGGACCCACATTCCCTATGGCTCAGGGCTCCCCTTTTCCCTATGGCTCAGGGCTCCCCCTTTTCCCTATGGCTCAGGGCTCCCCCTTTCCCTATGGCTCAGGGCTCCCCCTTTTCCCTATGGCTCAGGGCTCCCTTTTCCCTATGGATCAGGGCTCCCCCTTTTCCCTATGGCTCAGGCGCCCCCTTTTCCCTATGGATCAGGGCTGCCCCTTTTCCCTATGGATCAGGGCTGCCCCTTTCCCTATGGCTCAGGGCTCCCCCTTTTCCCTATGGCTCAGGGCTCCCCCTTTTCCCTATGTCTCTCCCCACTGCTCATCCCTCCCTTTCCCTTTCCCTTCCCGTTTTCCCGCTCCAGAAGAAGGATCCAGCCCAATTCCTGCAGGTCCACGGCCGGGCCTGCAAAATCCACCTGGATTCAGCCGTGGCCTTGGCTGCCGAGAGCCCGGTGAACATGTGGGTGTCCAGTGCTCCAATGGGAATGGGGAGCTGCAATGGGAATGGGGAGGTGCAATGGGAATGGGGAGCTGCAGTGGGAATGGGGAGGTGCAATGGGAATGGGGAGGTGCAATGGGAATGGGGAGGTGCAATGGGAATGGGGAGCTGCAGTGGGAATGGGGAGGTGCAATGGGAATGGGGAGCTGCAGTGGGAATGGGGAGGTGCAATGGGAATGGGGGAGCTCAATGGAATGGGGAGGTGCAGTGGGAATGGGGAGCTGGCAAAGGGAATGGGGAGCTGCAATGGGAATGGGGAGCTGCAGTGGGAATGGGGAGCTGCAGTGGGAATGGGGAGCTGCAAAGGGAATGGGGAGCTGCAATGGGAATGGGGAGCTGCAAAGGGAATGGGGAGCTGCAATGGGAATGGGGAGCTGCAAAGGGAATGGGGAGCTGCAATGGGAATGGGGGAGCTGCAGTGGGAATGGGGAGCTGCAATGGGAATGGGGAGCTGCAAAGGGAATGGGGAGCTGCAATGGGAATGGGGAGCTGCAGTGGGAATGGGGAGCTGCAATGGGAATGGGGAGGTGCAATGGGAATGGGGAGCTGCAATGGGAATGGGGAGCTGCAATGGGAATGGGGAGGTGCAATGGGAATGGGGAGCTGCAATGGGAATGGGAGCTGCAGTGGGAATGGGGAGCTGCAGTGGGAATGGGGAGGTGCAGTGGGGAATGGGGAGCTGCAATGGGAATGGGGAGCTGCAGTGGGAATGGGGAGGTGCAATGGGAATGGGGAGCTGCAATGGGAATGGGGAGCTGCAATGGGAAGGGGAGCTGCAATGGGAATGGGGGCTGCAATGGGAATGGGGGAGCTGCAGTGGGAATGGGGAGCTGCAATGGGATGGGGAGCTGCAATGGGAATGGGGAGCTGCAGTGGGAATGGGGAGCTGCAAAGGGAATGGGGAGCTGCAATGGGAATGGGGAGCTGCAGTGGGAATGGGGAGGTGCAATGGGAATGGGGAGCTGCAGTGGGAATGGGGAGCTGCAATGGGAATGGGAGCTGCAATGGGAATGGGGAGCTGCAGTGGGAATGGGGAGGTGCAATGGGAATGGGGAGCTGCAGTGGGAATGGGGAGCTGCAATGGGAATGGGTAGCTCAATGGGAATGGGGAGGTGCAGTGGGAATGGGGAGGTGCAATGGGAATGGGGAGGTGCAATGGGAATGGGGAGGTGCAATGGGAATGGGGAGCTGCAATGGGAATGGGGAGGTGCAATGGGAATGGGGAGCTGCAATGGGAATGGGGAGCTGCAATGGGAATGGGGAGCTGCAATGGGAATGGGGAGCTGAATGGGATTGGGGGAGCTCCAATGGGAATGGCGGGGGTGTGTGTGCTCTTCCCCATGGGCATTCCCGGCATTCCCACCTCTTTTCCCATAGGATGCCCTGGCAAGGGGACACCAACAACATGATCGACCGCTTCGACGTGCGGGCGCACCTGGATCACATCCCCAGCTACAGCCCGGCCCTGCTGAGCCCCATGTGAGGGGGGGGCGGAATTCCAATGGGAATTGGGGCTTGGAACTGGGCGGGGGGGGGAGGGAATTGCAATGGGATCAATGCGGAGCCGCCAGTGCCGTGGAGGGAGTCATCCATGGGTATCCCATAGGGATGCGTTTGGATCTGGCTCCATCCCCATGTCCCAGCGCTGCTCCTGCTCCTGGAAATCCCCTTCCCAAAGGGAATTCCAATGGGAAATGATCCCTCAGTGGCTGCTCCTGGAAATCCCCTTCCCAATGGGAATTCCAATGGGAAATGATCCCTCAGTGGCTGCTCCTGCTCCTGGAAATCCCCTTCCCAAAGGGAATTCCAATGGGAAAATGATCCCTCAGTGGCTGCTCCTGGAAATCCCCTTCCCAAAGGGAATTCCAATGGGAAATGATCCCTCAGTGGCTGCTCCTGGAAATCCCCTTCCTTCCCAAAGGGAATTCCAATGGGAAATGATCCCTCAGTGGCTGCTCCTGCTCCTGGAAATCCCCTTCCCAATGGGAATTCCAATGGGAAATGATCCCTCAGTGGCTGCTCCTGGAAATCCCCTTCCCAATGGGAATTCCAATGGGAAATGATCCCTCAGTGGCTGCTCCTGCTCCTGGAAATTCCTTTTCCAAAGGGAATTCCAATGGGAAATGATCCCTCAGTGGCTGCTCCTGCTCCTGGAAATTCCTTTTCCAAAGGGAATTCCAATGGGAAATGATCCCTCAGTGGCTGCTCCTGCTCCTGGAAATTCCCTTCCTTCCCAAAGGGAATTCCAATGGGAAATGATCCCTCAGTGGCTGCTCCTGGAAATCCCTTCCCAAAGGGAATTCCAATGGGAAATGATCCCTCAGTGGCTGCTCCTGCTCCTGGAAATCCCCTTCCCAATGGGAATTCCAATGGGAAATGATCCCTCAGTGGCTGCTCCTGGAAATCCCCTTCCCAATGGGAATTCCTTTCCTTCTCCTTCCCTTGCAGTTCCCCGGAGCAGGAATCGGACGAGCGCAAATGCAACTACGAGCGCTACCGCGGCCTGGTCCAGAACGACTTCGCCGGCAGTGAGTGCCCTATGGGGCGCCCCATAGGCTATGGGGCAGTGCCCTCTCCCCCCCCCAACCCATTCCCTGCATCCCACCCCCTGTGTTTCCAGTCTCGGAGGAGCAGTGCCTGTACCAGATCTACATGGATGAGCTCTACGGGGGCCTGCCCAAGCCCAACGAGGAGGAGAAGAAGAAGTGAGTTATCCCGGTGGGAATGCCGCGCCATTCCCGGGCTCTGGAAAACGGGGGGGGGAAGGAACCAGGATTGAGCATCCCATGCCCAGGCTGGCGGAGAAGAAGGCTTCCATTGGCTACACCTATGAGGACAGCACCGTGGCCGAGCTGGAAAACAGCGCGGAGAAGGGCCCGGGAAGAGGAGGATTCCGAGGAGGAAAACAGCAACACGGATGAGGATGAAGTCATTCCTGACATTGGTATGGAGCCCATGCACCCCCCATCCCATCTATCCCATCCCATCCATCCCATCCCATCCCATCCATCCCATCCCATCCATCCCATCCCATCCCATCCATCCCATCCCATCCCCCCCATCCCATCCCATCCTATCCCATCCCATCCACCCCATCCCCCCCCATCCCATCCTATCCCATCCCATCCCCCCCATCCCATCCATCCCATCCTATCCCATCCCCATCCCCCCCCATCCCATCCATCCCATCCATCCCACCCATGCCATCCCCCCATCCATCCATTCCATCCATCCCATCCCATCCATCCCATCCCGTCCCATCCATCCCATCCCATCCTGTCCATCCCATCCCATCCATCCCGTCCGTCCATCCCGTCCATCCCCCCTTATCGCATCCCATCCATCCCATCCCATCAATCCCATCCATCCCATTCATCCCATCCATCCCATCCCCCCATCCCATCCCATTCCCGGTGCTGAGCCCCGGCGCCGCTCTCATCTCCTCCCTCTTCCCGACATTCCCAGATGTGGAAGTGGACGTGGATGAGCTCAACCAGGAGCAAGTGGCCGACCTCAACAAGCAGGCGACCACCTATGGCATGGCCGAGGGGGACTTGTCCGGTAGGGCCGGAGCGGGGCCGTATTCCCAAGGGAGAATCCCTATGGATATGCCCGGGGTTCCCCCCCACTTCCTTTCCCTGATGGAGCCTTCATCCCAAGGATGCTGCGCAAGGACAAGGAGGAGGCTGAGGCCATCAAGAATGCCAAGGCTCTGGAAGAGGAGAAGGCCATGTACTCGGTACGGGATAGATCCCTCGGGATCCCTTCCCGGCCTCCCCGCTGCCGGAGGCGGCCCTGAGCTCCGGCTGCTTCCTGCAGGGCCGACGTTCCCGGCGCCCAGAGGAGGGAATTCCGGGAGAAGCGCTTGAAAGGCAGGAAGATCAGCCCCCCAGGTGGGTCCTGAGCGGGGAGCCCGCGTCCGGGCCATTCCCGAGGCTGGGATACAGCGACCAGCCCTCCCCAGCCCCATTCCCAGCTCCAGGAGCTGGGGATCCCCGCATCCAGCCCTGCCCCAGCCCATTCCCAGCTCCAGGAGCTGGGATCCAGCATCCAGCCCTGCCCCAGCCCATTGCCAGCTCCAGGAGCTGGGATCCAGCATCCAGGCCATTCCCGAGGCTGGGATCCAGCATCCAGCCCTGCCCCAGCCCATTCCCAGCTCCAGGAGCTGGGATACAGCATCCAGGCCATTCCCGAGGCTGGGATCCAGCATCCAGCCCTGCCCCATCCCATTCCCAGCTCCTGGAGCTGGGATCCAGCATCCAGCCCTGCCCCAGCCATTCCCAGCTCCTGGGAGCTGGGATCCAGCATCCAGCCCTGCCCCATCCCATTCCCAGCTCCTGGAGCTGGGATCCCACATCCAGCCCTGCCCCATCCCATTCCCAACTCCTGGAGCTGGGATCCCTAAATCCAGCCCTGCCCCAGCCCATTCCCAGAGCTGGGATCCAGCCCCCATCCCATTCCCATCTCCCAGAGCTGGGATCCAGCCCCCATCCCATTCCCATCTCCCAGAGCTGGGATCCAGCCCCCATCCCATTCCCAGAGCTGGGATCCAGCCCCCATCCCATTCCCAGAGCTGGGATCCAGCCCGCATCCCATTCCCAACTCCCAGAGCTGGGATCCAGCCCCCATCCCATTCCCATCTCCTGGAGCTGGGATCCAGCCCCCATCCCATTCCCATCTCCCGGAGCTGGATCCAGCACCCATCCCATTCCCATCTCCCAGGGGTTGGGATCCAGCCCCCATCCCATTCCCATCTCCCAGAGCTGGGATCCAGCCCCCATCCCATTCCCAGAGCTGGGATCCAGCCCCCATCCCATTCCCATCTCCCAGAGCTGGGATCCAGCCCCCATCCCATTCCCATCTCCCAGAGCTGGGATCCAGCCCCCATCCCATTCCCAACTCCCAGAGCTGGGATCCAGCCCCCATCCCATTCCCATCTCCCGGAGCTGGGATCCAGCACCCATCCCATTCCCATCTCCCAGGGGTTGGGATCCAGCCCCCATCCCATTCCCATCTCCCAGAGCTGGGATCCAGCCCCCATCCCATTCCCAGAGCTGGGATCCAGCCCCCATCCCATTCCCATCTCCAGAGCTGGGATCCAGCCCCCATCCCATTCCCATCTCCCAGAGCTGGGATCCAGCCCCCATCCCATTCCCATCTCCCAGAGCTGGGATCCAGCCCCCATCCCATTCCCAACTCCCAGAGCTGGGATCCAGCCCCCATCCCATTCCCATCTCCCGGAGCTGGGATCCAGCCCCCATCCCATTCCCCAACTCCCAGAGCTGGGGATCCAGCCCCCATCCCATTCCCATCTCCCAGACCTGGGATCCAGCCCCCATCCCATTCCCAACTCCCAGACCTGGGATCCAGCCCCCATCCCATTCCCATCTCCCAGAGCTGGGATCCAGCCCCCATCCCATTCCCAACTCCCAGAGCTGGGATCCAGCCCCCACTCCCATTCCCATCTCCCAGAGCTGGGATGCAACACCCATCCCATCCCATTCCCAACTCCTGGAGCTGGGATACAGCACCCATCCCCTTCATTCCCAACTCCCAGAGCTGGGATCCAGCCCCCATCCCATTCCCAACTCCCAGAGCTGGGATCCAGCCCCCATCCCATTCCCATCTCCCAGAGCTGGGATCCAGCCCCCATCCCATTCCCAGAGCTGGGATCCAGCCCCCATCCCATTCCCATCTCCCATCCCGCCATCCCCTGCAGTCGGGGCCGTTCCCGTTCCCATCCCTCTGGCCTTGCTCTTCCTCCGCAGCTACGCCCGCCGCGACAGCCCCACTTACGACCCCTACAAACGGTGAGTGCCCCCCCCCACCCCCTTTCCCAGCCCCACATTTCCCCCCCCCCCCACAACCACCCCCTGACCCCTTTCTCCCCACAGCTCCCCCTCGGAGTCGAGCTCGGGGTCCCGCTCCCGCTCGCGGACGCCGTCTCCGGGCCGCGAGGAGAAGATCACCTTCATCACCAGCTTCGGCGGCAGCGACGAGGAGCCCGCCACCGCCGGTACCGCCGCCACCGGCACCGCGCCCGGTAGAGCCCGCGCGGCACCGGGGCCAGGCCACGGCGCCTCGTCCCGGTGGGTGCCGCTTCCCAACCCTCCTCCTCCTCCTCCTCCCCAATGGGATGGGACATTGTGGGTGGGCGCCTCCATCCCCGCTCCCATGGGATGCGCGGCGCGATGCCGGCGCTCCGTTGCAGGCGCCGCGCGTCGTCTCCGTCGTCGTCGTCGTCGTCGTCGCCGTCGTCGTCCTCTTCCTCGTCCAGCTCCCGCTCCAGCTCCCGCTCCCGCCGCGGCGGCGGGGGGGGGGGTTCCTCGCGCCGCTACGGGCACGGCCGCCGCTATTCCCGCTCGCGCTCGCGCTCCCGCCGCTATTCCGGGAACGGGCGCCGCCGATCCAGGTCCTATTCCCCGGAGCGGGGCCATCGCTACGGCTCCCGGCGCCGCTCCAGGTGAGCGCGGCCGCGGGGTTGAGGGTGGGATCCTCTGGGGGGGCGCAGCGGGGAGATCCCATAGGACACAATGGGGGGGTTCCATAGGATAAAGTGGGGAGATCCCATAGGACACAGTGGAGCATCCATAGGATAGAATGCGGAGATCCCATAGGAGACAGGGGGGAGCTCCCATAGGACACAATGGGGAGATCCCATAGGACACAGTGAGGGGGTTCCATAGGACACAGTGGAGCATCCATAGGACACAGTGGGAAGCTCCCATAGGACACAATGGGGAGATCCCATAGGACACAATGTGGGGGGGTCCATAGGATACAATGGGGAGCTCCCATAGGACACAATGTGGGGGGGTCCATAGGATACAATGGGGAGCTCCCATAGGACACAGTGGGGAGATCCCATCAGACACAGTGGAGCATGCACAGGATAGAATGGGGAGATCCCATAGGAAACAATGGGGAGATCTCATAGTACACAGTGGAGCATCCATAGGATACAATGGGGAGCTCCCATAGGACACAATGGAGAGATCCCATAGGACGCAATGGGGGGGTTCCATAGGATACAGTGGAGCATCCATAGGATAGAATGGGGAGATCCCATAGGACACAGTGGAGCATCCACAGGATAGAATGGGGAGATCCCATAGGAAACAATGGGGAGATCTCATAGTACACAGTGGAGCATCCATAGGATACAATGGGGAGCTCCCATAGGACACAATGGAGAGATCCCATAGGACGCAATGGGGGGGTTCCATAGGATACAGTGGAGCATCCATAGGATAGAATGGGGAGATCCCTTAGGACACAGTAGAGCTCCCATGGGACACAGTGGGGAGATCCCGGAAGACACCATGGAGCATCCATAGGATACAATGGGGAGATCCCGTAGGACACAGTATAGCTCCCATGGGACACAGTGGGAAATTCCCATAGGACACAGTGCAGCATCCATAGGATACAGTGGGGAGATCCCATAGGACACAGTGGGGGGGTCCCATAGGACGCAATGGAGCTCCCATAGGACACACTGGGAAGTTCCCATAGGACACAACAGGGAGCCCCCATAGGACGCAATGGAGCTCCCATAGAACACAATGGAGCATCCCATGGGACCCAAAGAGCTGTTGCTGGCTCCCCTTGAGCTCCTTTCCATGGGGCTTCTCCATCCCCCCCCCCAATGCATTCCCTATGGACCCCTCTGCCCCATTCCCAGGAGCCGCTCCCGGCGCCGGCGCCACTGGAGCAGCAGCCGGAGCAGCCGGAGCCGCAGCGATTCCCGCAGCGCCAGCAGATCCCAGTCTCCGGAGCGGGACAAGGCTCCGCGCCCCACAGCATCGCCCGCCGTGGGGGAGAAGCTGAAAAAGTGAGGGCGTGGGGATACCGGGAATACCGGGAATACCGGGAATACCGGAGCCTGACCCCTTCCCCCCCCCCAGGCCTGACAGTGCAGCCGGTAAAGAGACGGGAGCTGCCAAAGTCAGTAAGAACGGAAGCGCAGCGGAAAAGGGGGGGCCCCCCCCCCGTGCTCATCCCGCTTCCCGCTGGGAGCCTGGGACCGGCCGGGATAGCCCCTGGGATATGGGGGGGGGGGGTGTGCTGGCAGTGGGATCTGTGGGGAGGTGGTCAGGGGGCAATGGGATGCATTGGGATCCATTGGGAGCTGGCCATGGGGCATTGGGATCCATTGGGAGCTGGCAATGGGATGCATTGGGAGCTGGCCATGGGGCATTGGGATCCATTGGGAGCTGGCCATGGGGCACTGGGATCCATTGGGAGCTGGCCATGGGGCACTGGGATCCACTGGGAGCTGGCCATGGGGCATTGGGATCCATTGGGAGCTGGCCATGGGGCACTGGGATCCATTGGGAGCTGGCCATGGGGCATTGGGATGCATTGGGAGCTGGCCATGGGGCAATGGGATGCACTGGGAGCTGGCCATGGGGCACTGGGATCCATTGGGAGCTGGCCATGGGGCAATGGGATGCACTGGGAGCTGGCCATGGGGCACTGGGATCCATTGGGAGCTGGCCATGGGGCAATGGGATGCATTGGGAGCTGGCCCTGGGGCAATGGGATCCATTGGGAGCTGGCCATGGGGCAATGGGATGCACTGGGAGCTGGCCATGGGGCACTGGGATCCATTGGGAGCTGGCCATGGGGCACTGGGATCCATTGGGAGCTGGCCATGGGGCAATGGGATGCATTGGGAGCTGGCCATGGGGCACTGGGATCCATTGGGAGCTGGCCATGGGGCAATGGGATCCACTGGGAGCTGGCCATGGGGCACTGGGATCCATTGGGAGCTGGCCATGGGGCATTGGGATCCATTGGGAGCTGGCCATGGGGCATTGGGATCCATTGGGAGCTGGCCATGGGGCATTGGGATCCATTGGGAGCTGGCCATGGGGCATTGGGATCCATTGGGAGCTGGCCATGGGGCATTGGGATCCATTGGGAGCTGGCCATGGGGCATTGGGATCCATTGGGAGCTGGCCATGGGGCAATGGGACTCCCCATGATCCCCCCTGTTCCTATGGGCTGTCTCCATCACCCAGTTGCCCCCCAAGCACCCATGGGTGCTGCAGGGGGGGGTCCCACCATGGATGGGTCCAATGGGTGCTGCTGGGGGGGGGGTCCCACCATGGATGGGTCCCATGGGTGGGGGGCTGCAGCGCCGTCCCCGTGTGCCCCCCATGGTCACAGGGGCTCCGGGTCCTTGCAGCCCAAGCTGACCCCGCAGGAGAAGCTGAGGCTACGCATGCAGAAGGCGCTGAACCGGCAGTGTGAGAGCACCCCCATTGTACCCCATAGAGACCCCATAGACACCCTATAGACACCCCATAGACACCCCATAGACACCCCATAGACACCCCATAGACACCCTATAGACACCCCATAGACACCCTATAGACACCCCATGGACACCCCATAGAGCCCCCATAGACACCCCATAGAGACCCCATAGACACCCTATAGACACCCCATGGACACCCCATAGACACCCTATAGACACCCCATAGACACCCTATAGACACCCCATGGACACCCCATAGACACCCCATAGACACCCCATGGACACCCCATAGACACCCCATAGAGACCCTACAGACACCCCATGGGCACCCCATAGACACCCCATAGACATCCCATAGACACCCCATGGACACCCCATAGACACCCCATGGGCACCCCCTGGACACCCCATAGAGCCCCCATGGACACCCCATAGAGACCCTACAGACACCCCATGGGCACCCCATAGAGACCCCATAGACACCCCATGTCTCCATTGACCCTCCCTGTCCCCATTTACACCCCCATGTCCCCTTTGACCCCCCCATATCCCCATTGACCCCCCCCATATCCCCATTGACCCCCCGCCCCCATTGACCCCCATGTCCCCATTGACCCCGCCATGTTCCCATTGACCCCGCCATGTTCCCATTGACCCCGCCATATCCCCACTGACCGCCCCATATCCCCATTGACCCCCCCATATCCCCATTGACCCCCATGTCCCCATTGACCCCCCCATATCCCCATTGACCCCCATGTCCTCATTGACCCCCCCATGTCCCCATTGACCCCCCCATATCCCCATTGACCCCCATGTCCCCATTGACCCCCCCATGTCCCCATTGACCCCCCCATATCCCCATTGACCCCCATGTCCCCATTGACCCTCCCATGTCCCCATTGACCCCCATGTCCCCACTGACCCCCCCATCCCCACTGACCCCCCCGTCCCCATTGACCCCCCCATGTCCCCATTGACCCCCCCATGTCCCCATTGACCCCCCCATGTCCCCACTGACCCCCCCATATCCCCATTGACCCCCATGTCCCCATTTACACCCCCATGTCCCCTTTGACCCCCCCATATCCCCATTGACCCCCATATCCCCATTGACCCCTGCCATGTTCCCACTGAGCCCCCCATATCCCCATCTACCCCCATGTCCCCTTTGACCCCCCCATGTCCCCATTGACCCCCATGTCCCCACTGACCCCCCCATGTCCCCATTGACCCCCATATCCCCATTAACCCCCCATGTCCCCATTGACGCCCCCATCCCCACTGACCCCCCCGTCCCCATTGACCCCCCCGTCCCCATTGACCCCCCCGTCCCCATTGACCCCCATGTCCCCATTGACCCCCATGTCCCCATTGACCCCCATATCCCCATTAACCCCCCCATGTCCCCACTGACCCCCCCATCCCCATTGACCCCCCCTGTCCCCATTGACCCCCCTGTTCCCTGCAGTTAAAGCTGACAAGAAGGCAGCGCAGGAGAAGATGCTGCAGCAGGAACACGAGAGACAGGTTGGGGGGGGCACAGCCTGGTTATGGGGCGGGGGGGACACACACCAGGTATGGGGCTGGGGGGCGGGGGCACACACCAGGTTATGGGGCACACACCAGGTTATGGGGCTGGGGGGGGGCACACACCAGGTTATGGGGCTGGAGGGGGGCACACACCAGGTTATGGGGCTGAAGGGGGGCACACACCAGGTTATGGGGCTGGAGGGGGGCACACACCAGGTTATGGGTCCCTGCTCTCCCATAGGAGCGGGAGGACGAGCTCCGAGCCATGGCCCGGAAGATCCGCATGAAGTGAGTGTGTCCCCCCCCCATCATTCCCCATGGATCCCCCCCATCATTCCCAACGGATCCCCCCCATCATTCCCAACGGATCCCCCCATCATTCCCAATGGATCCGGGGGGGGTCTGTACTGCTCCCACCATCATTCCCAACGGATCCCCCCCATCATTCCCAATGGATGCCCCATCATTCCCAACGGATCCCCCCATCATTCCCAATGGATCCCCCCATCATTCCCAGTGGATCCAGGGGGGGCTGTGCTGCTCCCCCCCATCATTCCCCATGGATCCCCCCCATCATTCCCCATGGATCCCCCCCAACATTCCCCATGGATACCCCCATCATTCCCCATGGATCCCCCCCAACATTCCCCATGGATACCCCCATCATTCCCAACGGATCCCGGGGGGGGGGCTGCGCTGCTCCCCCCCATCATTCCCAACGGATCCCCCCATCATTCCGCATGGATCCCCCCCATCATTCCCCATGGATCCCCCCCATCATTCCCCATGGATCCCCCCATTATTCCCAGTGGATCCAGGGGGGGCTGCGCTGCTCCCCCCCATCATTCCCCATGGATCCCCCCCCATCATTCCCAGTGGATCCCCCCCATCATTCCCCATGGATCCCCCCCAACATTCCCAACGGATCCTGGGGGGGGGGCTGCGCTGCTCCCCCCCATCATTCCCAACGGATCCCCCCATCATTCCGCATGGATCCCCCCATCATTCCCCATGGATCCCCCCATCATTCCCAACGGATCCCCCCATCATTCCCAACGGATCCCCCCATCATTCCCAACGGAATTCCCATCCCTTTTTCCTTCCCGGCAGGGAGCGGGAACGCCGGGAGAAGGAGCGGGAGGAGTGGGAGCGCCAGTACAGCCGCCAGAGCCGGTCCCCGTCCCCCCGCTACAGTGAGTCCCTATGGGGCAGGGGGGGCAGCTGTGGGGCACAAGGGCTTCCCAGCCCCACAGTGGGGAGGGGAGGGAAGGAAAAGCAGCAGCATTCCCATGGGAAAGGGTCCCCGAGCGCTTCCCTGTGCTTGCAGGTCGGGAATACAGCTCGTCCCGGAGGTAGGAGCATCCCGCCCCACATCCGGGGGGCCCGGGGGCCGCAGGTCATGGAGACCCCCCCCTCTCCCCCCATTCCCAACGCCTCCGTCTCTGCACCCCCATAGGCGCTCCCGGTCGCGGTCCCGCAGCCCCCATTACCGGCACTGAGGGGCCCGAAGGCAAATAAAGGTGGGAAATGGGAATGGGAGTGAGGAGCATGGAGGGGATGGGGGGGGAGGAGAGGGGGGACCCCCGGAGGACACGGGGTGCATCCCATAGCACACACACATTGTACATCCCATAGCACACACACATTGTACATCCCATAGCACACACATTGTACATCCCATAGCACACACACATTGTACATCCCATAGCACACATTGTACATCCCATAGCACACACATTGTACATCCCATAGCACACATTGTACATCCCATAGCACACACATTGTACATCCCATAGCACACACACATTGTACATCCCATAGCACACACATTGTACATCCCATAGCACACACATTGTACATCCCATAGCACACACACATTGTACATCCCATAGCACACACATTGTACATCCCATAGCACACACATTGTACATCCCATAGCACACACACATTGTACATCCCATAGCACACACACATTGTACATCCCATAGCACACACATTGTACATCCCATAGCACACACATTGTACATCCCATAGCACACACACATTGTACATCCCATAGCACACATTGTACATCCCATAGCACACACATTGTACATCCCATAGCACACACATTGTACATCCCATAGCACACACACATTGTACATCCCATAGCACACACACATTGTACATCCCATAGCACACACACATTGTACATCCCATAGCACACACATTGTACATCCCATAGCACACACATTGTACATCCCATAGCACACACATTGTACATCCCATAGCGCACACACATTGTACATCCCATAGCACACATTGTACATCCCATAGCACACACATTGTACATCCCATAGCACACACACATTGTACATCCCATAGCACACACATTGTACATCCCATAGCACACACATTGTACATCCCATAGCACACACACATTGTACATCCCATAGCACACACACATTGTACATCCCATAGCACACACATTGTACATCCCATAGCACACACATTGTACATCCCATAGCACACACACATTGTACATCCCATAGCACACACACATTGTACATCCCATAGCACACACATTGTACATCCCATAGCACACACATTGTACATCCCATAGCACACACATTGTACATCCCATAGCACACACACATTGTACATCCCATAGCACACACATTGTACATCCCATAGCACACACACATTGTACATCCCATAGCACACACACATTGTACATCCCATAGCACACACATTGTACATCCCATAGCACACACATTGTACATCCCATAGCACACACACATTGTACATCCCATAGCACACACACTGTACATCCCATAGCACACACACATTGTACATCCCATAGCACACACACATTGTACATCCCATAGCACACACATTGTACATCCCATAGCACACACATTGTACATCCCATAGCACACATTGTACATCCCATAGCACACACATTGTACATCCCATAGCACACACACATTGTACATCCCATAGCACACACACATTGTACATCCCATAGCACACACACATTGTAAATCCCATAGCACACACACATTGTACATCCCATAGCACACACATTGTACATCCCATAGCACACACATTGTACATCCCATAGCACACACACATTGTACATCCCATAGCACACATTGTACATCCCATAGCACACATTGTACATCCCATAGCACACATTGTACATCCCATAGCACACATTGTACATCCCATAGCACACACACATTGTACATCCCATAGCACACACACTGTACATCCCATAGCACACACATTGTACATCCCATAGCACACATTGTACATCCATTGCACACACATTGTACATCCCATAGCACACACATTGTACATCCCATAGCACACATTGTACATCCCATAGCACACACATTGTACATCCCATAGCACACACATTGTACATCCCATAGCACACACACATTGTACATCCCATAGCACACACACATTGTACATCCCATAGCACACACACATTGTACATCCCATAGCACACACACATTGTACATCCCATAGCACACACACATTGTACATCCCATAGCACACACACATTGTACATCCCATAGCACACACACATTGTACATCCCATAGCACACACACATTGTACATCCCATAGCACACACACATTGTACATCCCATAGCACACACATTGTACATCCCATAGCACACACACATTGTACATCCCATAGCACACACATTGTACATCCCATAGCACACACACATTGTACATCCCATAGCACACACACATTGTACATCCCATAGCACACACACATTGTACATCCCATAGCACACACATTGTACATCCCATAGCACACACACATTGTACATCCCATAGCACACATTGTACATCCCATAGCACACACATTGTACATCCCATAGCACACATTGTACATCCCATAGCACACATTGTACATCCCATAGCACACACATTGTACATCCCATAGCACACACATTGTACATCCCATAGCACACACATTGTACATCCCATAGCACACACACATTGTACATCCCATAGCACACATTGTACATCCCATAGCACACATTGTACATCCCATAGCACACATTGTACATCCCATAGCACACACACATTGTACATCCCATAGCACACACATTGTACATCCCATAGCACACACACATTGTACATCCCATAGCACACACATTGTACATCCCATAGCACACACACATTGTACATCCCATAGCACACACACATTGTACATCCCATAGCACACACACATTGTACATCCCATAGCACACACATTGTACATCCCATAGCACACACATTGTACATCCCATAGCACACATTGTACATCCCATAGCACACACATTGTACATCCCATAGCACACATTGTACATCCCATAGCACACACATTGTACATCCCATAGCACACACATTGTACATCCCATAGCACACACATTGTACATCCCATAGCACACATTGTACATCCCATAGCACACACACATTGTACATCCCATAGCACACATTGTACATCCCATAGCACACACATTGTACATCCCATAGCACACACATTGTACATCCCATAGCACACACATTGTACATCCCATAGCACACACACATTGTACATCCCATAGCACACACACATTGTACATCCCATAGCACACACACATTGTACATCCCATAGCACACACACATTGTACATCCCATAGCACACACATTGTACATCCCATAGCACACACATTGTACATCCCATAGCACACACACATTGTACATCCCATAGCACACACACATTGTACATCCCATAGCACACACACATTGTACATCCCATAGCACACATTGTACATCCCATAGCACACATTGTACATCCCATAGCACACACACATTGTACATCCCATAGCACACATTGTACATCCCATAGCACACACACATTGTACATCCCATAGCACACACATTGTACATCCCATAGCACACACACATTGTACATCCCATAGCACACATTGTACATCCCATAGCACACACACATTGTACATCCCATAGCACACATTGTACATCCCATAGCACACACACATTGTACATCCCATAGCACACACATTGTACATCCCATAGCACACACATTGTACATCCCATAGCACACACACATTGTACATCCCATAGCACACACACATTGTACATCCCATAGCACACACACATTGTACATCCCATAGCACACACACATTGTACATCCCATAGCACACACATTGTACATCCCATAGCACACACATTGTACATCCCATAGCACACACATTGTACATCCCATAGCACACACACATTGTACATCCCATAGCACACACATTGTACATCCCATAGCACACACACATTGTACATCCCATAGCACACATTGTACATCCCATAGCACACACATTGTACATCCCATAGCACACACACATTGTACATCCCATAGCACACACACATTGTACATCCCATAGCACACATTGTACATCCCATAGCACACACATTGTACATCCCATAGCACACACATTGTACATCCCATAGCACACACACATTGTACATCCCATAGCACACACACATTGTACATCCCATAGCACACACACATTGTACATCCCATAGCACACACACATTGTACATCCCATAGCACACACACATTGTACATCCCATAGCACACACATTGTACATCCCATAGCACACACACATTGTACATCCCATAGCACACACACATTGTACATCCCATAGCACACACATTGTACATCCCATAGCACACACACATTGTACATCCCATAGCACACATTGTACATCCCATAGCACACACACATTGTACATCCCATAGCACACACACATTGTACATCCCATAGCACACATTGTACATCCCATAGCACACACATTGTACATCCCATAGCACACACACATTGTACATCCCATAGCACACACATTGTACATCCCATAGCACACACACATTGTACATCCCATAGCACACACACATTGTACATCCCATAGCACACACACATTGTACATCCCATAGCACACACATTGTACATCCCATAGCACACACACATTGTACATCCCATAGCACACACACATTGTACATCCCATAGCACACACACATTGTACATCCCATAGCACACACACATTGTACATCCCATAGCACACATTGTACATCCCATAGGCCACAGTGGATCCCCAGTAGGCCACAACGGATCCCCCATAGGCCACAAGTTCTCTCCCATAGGATATAACGGATCCCCCATAGCACACACTGTACACCCCATAGGCCACAAGGTCTCTCCCATAGGATATAATGGATCTCCCATAGGATCCCCCATAGGCCACAGTGGATCCCCCATAGGATATAATGGATTCCCAGAGCACACACACTGTACACCCCATAGGATACACTGTACACACCATAGCACACACTGTACACCCCACAGGACACACTGTACACCCCATAGGATATAATGGATCCCCCATAGCACACACTGTACGCCCCATAGGCCACAAGGTCTCTCCCATAGGATATAATGGATCCCCATAGCACACACTATACACCCCATAGACCACAGTGGGTCCCCATAGACCACAACGGATCCCCCATAGACCACAATGGATCCCCCATAGACCACAACGGATCCCCCATAGACCACAGTGGATCCCCCATAGACCACAACGGATCCCCCATAGACCACAGCGGATCCCCCATAGACCACAGTGGATCCCCACAGACCACAATGGATCCCCCATAGACCACAGTGGATCCCCACAGACCTCAACGGATCCCCCATAGACCACAACGGATCCCCCATAGACCACAACGGATCCCCCACAGACCACAGCGGATCCCCCATAGACCACAGGGGATCCCCCATAGACCACAATGGATCCCCCATAGACCGCAATGGATCCCCCATAGACCACAAGGGATCCCCCATAGACCACAACGGATCCCCCATAGGATACACTGTACACCCCATAGGATATAATGGATCCCCATAGCACACACTGTACACCCCATAGACCCCAATGGATCCCCACAGACCACAGCGGATCCCCCATAGACCCCAATGGATCCCCCATAGACCACAATGGATCCCCCATAGACCACAGTGGATCCCCCATAGACCACAAGGGATCCCCCATAGACTACAGTGGATCCCCACAGACCTCAACGGATCCCCCATAGACCACAATGGATCCCCCATAGACCACAAGGGATCCCCCATAGGATACACTGTACACCCCATAGCACACACTGTACACCCCATAGAATATAATGGATCCCCATAGCACACACTGTACACCCCATAGGATATAATGGATCCCCATAGCACACACTGTACACCCCATAGGATATAATGGATCCCCATAGCACACACTGTACACCCCATAGGATATAATGGATCCCCATAGCACACACTGTACACCCCATAGGATATAATGGATCCCCATAGCACACACTGTACACCCCATAGCACACACTGTACACCCCATAGGATATAATGGATACTCATGGCACACACTGTACACCCCATAGAATATAATGGATCCCCATAGCACACACTGTACGCCCCATAGGCCACAAGGTCTCTCCCATAGGATATAATGGGTCCCCATAGCACACACTGTACACCCCATAGGCCACAAGGTCTCTCCCATAGGATATAATGGATCTCCCATAGGATCCCCCATAGGCCACAGTGGATCCCCCATAGACCACAAGGGATCCCCCATAGACCACAAGGGATCCCCCATAGACCACAAGGGATCCCCCATAGGATACACTGTACACCCCATAGAATATAATGGATCCCCATAGCACACACTGTACACCCCATAGGATATAATGGATCCCCATAGCACACACTGTACACTCCATAGACCACAGTGGATCCCCCATAGGATATAATGAATCTCCCATAGGATACATTGGATCCCCCATAGCACACACTGTACACCCCATAGGATACATTGGATCCCCCATAGCACACACTGTACGCCCCATAGGCCACAAGGTCTCTCCCATAGGATATAATGGGTCCCCATAGCACACACTATACACCCCATAGACCACAGTGGGTCCCCATAGACCACAACGGATCCCCCGTAGACCACAACGGATCCCCCATAGACCACAAGGGATCCCCCATAGACCACAACAGATCCCCCATAGGATACACTGTACACCCCATAGGATATAATGGATCCCCCATAGCACACACTGTACGCCCCATAGGCCACAAGGTCTCTCCCATAGGATATAATGGGTCCCCATAGCACACACTGTACACCCCATAGACCCCAATGGATCCCCCATAGACCCCAATGGATCCCCCATGGACCACAGCGGGTCCCCCATAGACCACAGTGGATCCCCACAGACCACAATGGATCCCCCATAGACCCCAATGGATCCCACATAGACCACAGCGGATCCCCCATGGACCACAGCGGATCCCCCTCCGGCCTCAGGGTGTCCCCGTCCCTCAGGGCGCGGTTGCCCCGGGCACGTGGAAGCGGAACCCGATGATGTCGGAGCCCCGGAGCAGCGCCGCCTCCTGCCGGCCCAGCGGGGTCCGGAGCCCCTCCACGAGCAGCGCCGCCGCCTCCCGCTCCGCCGCCCCCAGCGTGGCCTCCACGCGGACCCCGCCGCGGAGCCGGAACCGAGCGGGGCGGCCCCGTCCGGCCCCCAGCGCCCGCAGGAACCGGGCCCGGAGCCGCGCCCGCGCCCGCTGCGCCTCCGCCTCCGCCTCCTCCGGACGAGGTCCGCGGCGGGACTCGAACCCGCGGCTCCGCCCGTCCGGGCCCCGCGGCAGCCGCAGCACCGGCACCGGCACCGGCTCCGCGTCCTCGGGCGGGCTCATGGGGACTGCGGGGGCAGCGCGGGGAGAGGCAGCCCCGGGCATCGGCACCTGTGGACAGAGCAAGGCCACATAGATAGCACATGGCCCCATAGACATCTATGGACAGAGCACAGCCCCATAGATAGCACATGGCCCCATAGACATCTATGGACAGAGCACAGCCCCATAGATAGCACATGGCCCCATAGACATCTATGGACAGAGCACAGCCCCATAGATAGCACATGGCCCCATAGGCACCTATGGACAGAGCACAGCCCCATAGACACCTATGGACAGAGCAAGGCCACATAGATAGCACATGGCCCCATAGGCACCTATGGACAGAGCACAGCCCCATAGACATCTATGGACAGAGCAAGGCCACATAGATAGCACATGGCCCCATAGGCACCTATGGACAGAGCACGGCCCCATAGGCATCTATGGACAGAGCACAGCCCCATAGATAGCACATGGCCCCATAGATAGCACATGGCCCCATAGATAGCACATGTCCCCATAGACATCTATGGACAGAGCACAGCCCCATAGATAGCACATGTCCCCATAGACATCTATGGACAGCACACAGCCCCATAGACATCTATGGACAGAGCACAGCCCCATAGATAGCACACAGCCCCATAGGCACCTATGGACAGAGCACAGCCCCATAGATAGCTATGGACAGAGCACGGCCACATAGATAGCACACAGCCCCATAGGCACCTATGGACAGAGCACAGCCCCATAGACATCTATAGACAGAGCACAGCCCCATAGATAGCACACAGCCCCATAGGCACCTATGGACAGAGCACGGCCCCATAGACACCCAGAGACAGCACACAGCCCCATAGACATCTACAGACACCTATAGATAGGGCACAGCCTCATAGACACCTATAGGGCAGAGCCTACATGGGGACTCCATGGTTACACCCCATTAAAAGATCCCCCTACAGCCCCTCCCCAACCCCTTCACTGCCCCACATCCGCACCCTTCACTGCCCCACATCTGCACCCTTCACTGCCCCACATCCGCACCCTTCACTGCCCCACATCTGCACCCTTCACTGCCCCACATCTGCACCCTTCACTGCCCCACATAGGACCCCCCCCCCCCAAAGACGCCCCATAGCCCCACGGTGCCTCCAAGCCCCTTTCACAGCCCCACATCTGCCCCCCTCAACCCCTTCGTTGCCCCACACGCCCCCCCCCCCCCATAGAACCCCCCCAGGCCCACGGTGCCCCCCAAGTGCCCCTGAGCCCCGCACTGCCCCACATGCCCCCCCCCCCTCCCATTAGGCCCAGGGTGTCCCCAAGGGCCCCCACAGGCCCACAACCCTCCAAGACCTCCCATAGACCCCCCCATAGGCCCACGGTGCCCCCCAAGTGCCCCCCAAGTGCCCCCAGCCCCACACGGGCCCTGCCCCGGTACCTCCGCTCCGCTCCGGCTCTACCCCCGTTCCCTCCGCCGCAGATTCGCCACGGGACGTTCGTCACCGCAGATTCAACACCGCAGATTCGCCACCGCAGATTCGCCACCGCAGATTCAACACCGCAGATTCGCCACCGCAGATTCAACACCGCAGATTCAACACCGCAGATTCAACACCGCAGATTCAACACCGCAGATTCGCCACCGCAGATTCAACACCGCAGATTCGCCACCGCAGATTCGACACCGCAGATTCAACACCGCAGATTCAACACCGCAGATTCGCCACGGCAGATTCAACACCGCAGATTCGCCGCCGCAGATTCGCCACCCTCGGTCCCGTGTCGAATCTGCGGGCGCGGCGGGCGCGGGGCGCTGGGCGCGGAGCGGCTCCGCCATGGAGCAGGCCCCGGGGCAGGCCCCGGAGCCCCGCGGAGCCCAGGCCGAGGACGGGCGGCTCCGGGCCGGGGCCAAGCGCGTCACGTTCCCGTCGGACGAGGACATCGTGTCCGGGGCCGTGGAGCCCAAGGACCCCTGGAGGCACGGTACGGGGGGGGGGGGTGCGGGGAGCGGGTGGGAACGGGGCTGTATTGAGGGTAACGGGGCTGTATTGGGGGTAACGGGGCTGTATTGGGGGTAACGGGGCTGCAGTGGGGGTAACGGGGTTGTATTGGGGGTAACGGGGCTGTATTGGGGGTAACGGGGCTGTATTGGGGGTAACGGGGCTGCAGTGGGGGTAACAGGGTTGTATTGGGGGTAATGGGGCTGTATTGGGGGTAACGGGGTTGTATTGGGGGTAATGGGGCTGTATTGGGGGTAACGGGGTTGTATTGGGGGTAATGGGGCTGCATTGGGGGTAACGGGGCTGCAGTGGGGGTAACGGGGCTGCAGTGGGGGTAACGGGGTTGTATTGGGGGTAACGGGGCTGTATTGGGGGTAACGGGGCTGTATTGGGGGTAACGGGGCTGCAGTGGGGGTAACAGGGTTGTATTGGGGGTAATGGGGCTGTATTGGGGGTAACGGGGTTGTATTGGGGGTAATGGGGCTGTATTGGGGGTAACGGGGTTGTATTGGGGGTAATGGGGCTGTATTGGGGTAACGGGGTTGTGTTGGGGGTAACGGGGCTGCAGTGGGGGTAACGGGGCTGTATTGGGGGTAACGGGGTTCCATTGATGGTAACGGGGCTGCATTGATGGTAATGGGGCTGCATTGATGGTAGCGGGGTTCCATTGATGGTAATGGGGCTGTATTTGGGTTAACGGGGCTGTATTGGGGTTAACGGGGCTGTATTGGGGGTAACAGGGTGCCATTGGGTGTAATGGGGTTCCATTGATGGTAACGGGGCTGCATTGAGGGTAACGGGGTTGCACTGGTGGTAATGGGGCTGCACTGGGGGTAACGGGGCTGCACTGGGGGTAATGGGGCTGTATTGATGGTAACAGGGCTCCATTGATGGTAACGGGGCTGCAGTGGGAGTAACGGGGCTGCATTGGGGGTAACAGGGCTGCACTGGGGGTAATGGGGCTGCCTTGAGGGTAACGGGGTTTCATTGATGGTAACGGGGCTGCATTGGGGTTAACAGGGCTGTATTGGGGGTAATGGGGCTGCATTGATGGTTACAGGGCTGCACTGGGGGTAACGGGGCTGTATTGGGGGTAACAGGGTTCCATTGATGGTAACGGGGTTGCACTGATGGTAACAGGGCTGCAATGGGGGTAACGGGGCTGCATTGGGGGTAACGGGGTGCCATTGGGGGTAATGGGGCTGCATTGGGGGTAACGGGGCTGCACTGGGGGTAATGGGGCTGCAATGGGAGTAACGGGGCTGCATTGGGGGTAACAGGGCTGCACTGGGGGTAATGGGGCTGCATTGATGGTTACAGGGCTGCACTGGGGGTAACAGGGCTGTTTTGGGGGTAACAGGGTTCCATTGATGGTAACGGGGCTGCACTGATGGTAACAGGGCCGCAATGGGGGTAACAGGGCTGCATTGCTGGTAATGGGGTTCCATTGATGGTAACAGGGCTGCAATGGAGATAATGGGGCTGCATTGCTGGTAACAGGGTTCCATTGATGGTAATGGGGCTGCAATGGGGGTAACAGGGTTCCATTGCTGGTAACAGGGCTGCAATGGGGGTAATGGGGCTGCATTGCTGGTAACGGGGTTCCATTGCTGGTAACAGGTCCGCAATGGGGGTAATGGGGCTGCACTGCTGGTAACGGGGTTCCGTTGATGGTAACAGGGCTGCAGTGGGTGTAATGGGGCTGCATTGCTGGTAACGGGGTTCCATTGCTGGTAACAGGGCTGCAATGGGGGTAATGGGGCTGCATTGCTGGTAACGGGGTTCCGTTGATGGTATCAGGGCTGCATTGCTGGTAATGGGGTTCCGTTGCCGGTGATGGGATCTGGAATGAGGGCAGAATCCCGTGTTCCCAGTGTCCTCCATTGCTCCTTCCCATTGGCTTCAGGAGGCTTTGGGTCCTCCTCATCCCAACATTTGACCCCACAAGGGCTGGGAATAGGGCCGGGGGGGGGGGGCAAGGTTTGCTGGGGAGGCTTTGGAGCACCGGGAACGCCGCTGGATGGCAGTCGGGATCATGGGGACATCCTCCATGGGGCAGGTTCCTCCTTGGGCACTGCCGGGGATGGAGCATCCAACCCTTCCCCATTCATCCCACTGGGAAGGGCTTCCCGGTATCCCGCTCCTTTGCTGCTTGCTCTGGGGGGGGTTGGAGCTATTCCCACCTTTCCCCCCCCTCCTGGAGCTGCACCGGGGCTCAGGGATGCGGTGTTGGGTTCCATCCCTCCTCCTCCATGAATTATTCCTGCCTTGGATTCCTCATCTCCAGGCTCAGGTTCCAGGCTCCAACCTCCCTCTTGGCTCCTGCCCTTCAGCTGCTCCCTTATCCCTACCCGGGATGTGCTGGCATTAACCCGGGCATTCCCAGCTTGGTTTCCAGTGTTTACCTCAGCCAAGGGGGGATCTGGGATAGGGTGGTGCTGGGAAGAGGGAAGATGTATGGCCGGGAGCTGCTGCCATCCTCCTCAGTCAGCTTCCCTGCAGTGTGTCCTATGGGAGCTTCCCATTGCATCCTATGGGAGCTCCCCACTGTGTCCTATGGGAGCTCCCCATTGTGTCCTATGGGAGCTTCCCATTGTGTCCTATGGGAGCTTCCCATTGTGTCCTATGGGAGCTCCCCATTGCATCCTATGGGAGCTCCCCATTGCGTCCTATGGGAGCTTCCCATTGTGTCCTATGGGAGCTCCCCATTGCATCCTATGGGAGCTCCCCATTGCGTCCTATGGGAGCTTCCCATTGCGTCCTATGGGAGCTTCCCATTGTGTCCTATGGGAGCTTCCCATTGTGTCCTATGGGAGCTTCCCATTGTGTCCTATGGGAGCTCCCCATTGCATCCTATGGGAGCTCCCCATTGCGTCCTATGGGAGCTTCCCATTGTGTCCTATGGGAGCTTCCCATTGCATCCTATGGGAGCTTCCCATTGTGTCCTATGGGAGCTTCCCATTGTGTCCTATGGGAGCTTCCCATTGTGTCCTATGGGAGCTCCCCATTGCGTCCTATGGGAGCTCCCCACTGTGTCCTATGGGAGCTCCCCATTGTGTCCTATGGGAGCTTCCCATTGTGTCCTATGGGAGCTTCCCATTGTGTCCTATGGGAGCTCCCCACTGTGTCCTATGGGAGCTTCCCATTGTGTCCTATGGGAGCTCCCCACTGTGTCCTATGGGAGCTCCCCATTGTGTCCTATGGGAGCTTCCCATTGTGTCCTATGGGAGCTCCCCACTGTGTCCTATGGGAGCTCCCCGTTGTGTCCTATGGGAGCTCCCCGTTGTGTCCTATGGGAGCTCCCCGTTGTGTCCTATGGGTGCTCCCCATTGTGTCCTATGGGAGCTCCCCACTGTGTCCTATGGGGGTTCCCCACTGTGTCCTGTGGGGGTTCTCCATTGTGTCCTATGGGAGCTTCCCATTATGTCCTATGGGAGCTCCCCACTGTGTCCTATGGGAGCTCCCCATTGTGTCCTATGGGAGCTCCCCACTGTGTCCTATGGGAGCTCCCCATTGTGTCCTATGGGAGCTCCCCATTGTGTCCTATGGGAGCTCCCCATTGTGTCCTATGGGAGCTCCCCATTGCGTCCTATGGGAGCTCCCCATTGTGTCCTATGGGAGCTCCCCATTGTGTCCTATGGGAGCTCCCCATTGTGTCCTATGGGAGCTCCCCACTGTGTCCTATGGGAGCTCCCCACTGTGTCCTATGGGAGCTCCCCATTGCATCCTATGGGAGCTCCACTGTGTCCTATGGGAACTTCCCAGTGTGTCCTATGGGAGCTCCCCATTGTGTCCTATGGGAGCTCCCCACTGTGTCCTATGGGAGCAGCAGGGCCAAGGGGGGGACCCTCCTGGAGCACTGGGGCCAGGTCTGGGGTCGCCAACATCAGGAGACGTGGAGCGGGGCTTCGGACACGGGAGAGATGGGATGGGATGGGATGGGATGGGATGGGATGGGATGAGATGGGATGGGATGGGATGGGATGGGATGGAAGAGGTGGATGGGCTCTTGGGATGAAGCTCTTCCCATGAGGGTGGTGGGACACTGGCATGGGTTGGATGCAGAAGGGTTGGATGCTCCATCACCATCAAGGGCCCTTGGTTGGGCCTGGCTGAGCTTTAAGGTCTTCTCCAACCCAACCCATGTCATGATTCCAAGGGCTTTAGGAGCGAATCCAGGGGTCCTGATCCTTCTTCCCGCTGGAATCCCAGTGATGCCGGTGGGAAGTGGGCCCGGGATGGGCCAGAGCAGCGCAAATCCCATCCTCCAGCAGAAGAGGTGGAGAGAGCTTCCCCCAGGAGAGGGCACCAGAGCCTGTGTGGTGCTGGAGCTCCTTTGGGACAGGGAATCCTTCAGCTGGGACCTCCTGGAGATGCTCATTCCCATGGGAATAGCGCTGACCCTCGGCTCCCGAGCATGCTTGGTTTGCGGGAGGAAAGCCGATGGGATCAGGGGACTTTGCTGCTGTTGGCGTGTTTCCCCCCTTCAGCTCCTAGGGAATCATATCCCGTGTCAGGGAAGCATGGAAGAGTCAACCAAGTTGGGAAAACCCTTCAGGCTCAATCCCAGCCTTCCCCCATTCCCGTGTCCCCCGGGCTCTCAGCAGGGAGCGGGTGGAATCCCGGTGGTTTTCCATCCCTCTCCGGGATCATATGGCGCAATCCATGGGGATGGCAGGACGAGGAGGGGCTGGGGCTGTTTGTGCTTGGCTGGGTGAGCTTCCTTGGGGAGCTGGTTCCTCCTGCTCCGCTTCCCACCGGGAATAGCTGCAGTGTTTGTGTGGGGCCAAGGCGAAGCGGGCATCGCCGCCCTCAGCCCACAGCATCCGGAGCAGCGGCCTCAGCCCGCAGTGCGGAAGGGCAGGAGCTTCCCGATGGGAATTGCAGCTCAACCCCTTGGGGACACGGGGAATGGCTGGAGATGGGATTCAGGGAGGAAGCTCTCCCCTCGGAGCCCGTTGGGATGCTGGGATGAGCGGAGAAGGTTTGGTTCCACGGGGCTTGGAGCAACGTGGGCTCCGCACCCTTCCCATGGAACTTTAGGGTGCTTCCCAGCCCCCGTCATTCCATGATTCCATGCTTTCCTGGCCTGTGTTCCAGGAGGAACGCATCTGACGTGATCTCTTATCCCACGGCGCTTCCCAAAAGCCTTCCTGCTCCTCAGGGAGCCAGAGCACCCTTGGAAGAGCTGGGTTGGCTTTTCCAGCCCCATTCCTGCCCAAAGAAACCGGGACTTGCTCCCATCCGTGTCCTTCGTGTTGGAGCAGGCAAATCCCTGTCCTCTCCTTACCTGGGTGCAGATCCCGGTGGATAACAGGGATTCCCATGGCGCAGTGTGGGAAGCTCATCCCTTCCCCGTGTCCTTGCAGCCCAGAACGTGACGGTGGAGGAAATCCTGAGTGCCTACAAGCAGGCCTGCCAGAAGCTCAACTGCAAGCAGATCCCCAAGCTCCTGAAGCAGATCCAGGTAGAGCTGGGGCTCAACCCCCCCATTCCCAACGGGAATCCGGGCTGAAGTCCCCGCTCTGCCCCCCCCCCCCATGGGGTTAACACAAACCCGATGGGATGCTCCAAGCTCTTCCCTTGTCCCTGCTCTTCCCTCTGCAGGAGTTCAAGGAGCTGGCTCCCAGGATAGACTGCTTGGATCTCAAAGGTGAGGCCTTGCTCCGTCCATCCCCATGGACCTGCGTCCTCTTCCTGGACCATTCCCGGCTGGAATTGTGCTCCCAGTCGGGGCTCTCGTAGCCTTAATCCCAGAAGAGGGAATTCCAGGCTGAGGGATCCTCCAGCCTTCCAGCAGGATCCTCATCCCACAACAGCCCCTTTGGCACATAGGGATAAGCAGGAGCCCATTAGCCCCACGCTTTTGGTCTTGAAGCTCCAGTAGGAAAACTGGGAATGGTTCCCTACAGCCACCACTGGCTCCTATGGAGCATCTCCGGTAGCTCCAGCGAGGAGAGGAATTGCATTGCCCTCCCTTCCCCACAAGGGATGTCTCCTGCAGGGAATAACTTGGGAATGCCCCATATGGGGGTCGTTGGGGAGGGGATGGGGGGGGGGAATCCCCCTCCCCATGGCTCCTCCCGGAGCTCATCCCACTTTTCCCAGGGGAGAAGCTGGATTACAAGGCCTGCGAGGCGCTGGAGGAGATCTTCAAGCGGGTCCAGTTCAAGATCGTGGACCTGGAGCAGACGAGCCTGGATGAGGACGTGAGTGACCTGAGTTCCCCCCCTCCCCTCCTCTGACTCCCGTGCTCGATCCAATGGGAAGTGGGGCAAACGGGAATGCTGCCCGTGCTCAGCTCCATAGGGATTCATTGTGCCTCCGGTGCCAGAGGAGCCCTGGGACCTTTCCCAGGCCCAAATCCTGCTGTGCTGCTCCCAAAGCCTGCTGTAAGCCCTGGGTTGCACCTTTGGTTTGGAGCCCCCTTGGATGCTTCCTTGGCCTGGGAAGGGCTGGCAAATCCCCCCCGGAGCAACCAGCCAACGATCCAAAGGCAATTCCATTTGCCTGTATCCTTGGAAGCATCCTTCAGGTCCCTCCATGGCCAGAACCTGGGTGCCCAGGGCTTGGATCCCTTTGCAAGGTGCCACCTCTTGGCTGGCTTCCCCCGTGAAGATGGCTCCAGTGAGAGCCCCGGAGCTATTCCCAGTGCTGGGAACGCCGGGAATGCCCTCCATGGTGGAGGGCAGAGGGGACATGGCCAGGGAGGGGAATCGAACGCGTGGGCTTTGCTGTGGGGCTGCAGGGCTCCATGGGGCCGGGAGAGGCATCCGGAGGAGCCGTTTTTCCCCCCCCCTTTCCCAAGCAATTCCCAAGGTTTTTCCCTGTGCCCATAGGGAGCCTCGGCGCTGTTTGACATGATCGAGTACTACGAGTCGGCCACGCACCTCAACATCTCCTTCAACAAGCACATCGGCACCCGCGGCTGGCAGGCGGCCGCGCACATGATGCGGAAGGTGGGTGCTCCCAGCACCCATGGGTGCCCTGCATCCCTCGGGATTGGGTTCGTGCGGCTCTGTTCCCGAGGCACGGGGCCGGGGCGAGCTGGAGGGCAGGGAGGAACATCAGCCTTGCCGCATGGCAACGGGGTGGGAAGGAGCTGGAGGTTGATCCCAACCTTCTGTGGTGGAGCAGCCAAACTGGGAGCATCCGTAGGGATGGAGCAGCCAAACTGGGAGCATCCTTAGGGATGGAGCAGCCAAACTGGGAGCATCCGTAGGGATGGAGCAGCCAAACTGGGAGCATCCGTAGGGATGGAGCAGCCAAACTGGGAGCATCCTTAGGGGTGGAGCAGCCAAACTGGGAGCATCCTTAGGGATGGAGCAGCCAAACTGGGAGCATCCTTAGGGATGGAGCAGCCAAACTGGGAGCATCCGTAGGGATGGAGCAGCCAAACTGGGAGCATCCTTAGGGATGGAGCAGCCAAACTGGGAGCATCCGTAGGGATGGAGCAGCCAAACCGGGAGCATCCTTAGGGATGGAGCAGCCAAACTGGGAGCATCCTTAGGGATGGAGCAGCCAAACCGGGAGCATCCGTAGGGATGGAGCAGCCAAACTGGGAGCATCCGTAGGGGTGGAGCAGCCAAACTGGGAGCATCCTTAGGGATGGACCAGCCAAACTGGGAGCATCCGTAGGGATGGAGCAGCCAAACTGGGAGCATCCTTAGGGATGGAGCAGCCAAACCGGGAGCATCCTTAGGGATGGAGCAGCCAAACTGGGAGCATCCTTAGGGATGGAGCAGCCAAACCGGGAGCATCCTTAGGGATGGAGCAGCCAAACTGGGAGCATCCATAGGGATGGAGCAGCCAAACTGGGAGCATCCTTAGGGATGGAGCAGCCAAACTGGGAGCATCCTTAGGGATGGACCAGCCAAACTGGGAGCATCCTTAGGGATGGAGCAGCCAAACTGGGAGCATCCTTAGGGATGGAGCAGCCAAACCGGGAGCATCCGTAGGGATGGAGCAGCCAAACTGGGAGCATCCTTAGGGATGGAGCAGCCAAACTGGGAGCATCCTTAGGGATGGAGCAGCCAAACCGGGAGCATCCTTAGGGATGGAGCAGCCAAACCGGGAGCATCCTTAGGGATGGAGCAGCCAAACCGGGAGCATCCTTAGGGATGGAGCAGCCAAACTGGGAGCATCCTTAGGGATGGAGCAGCCAAACTGGGAGCATCCTTAGGGATGGAGCAGCCAAACCGGGAGCATCCTTAGGGATGGAGCAGCCAAACCGGGAGCATCCTTAGGGATGGAGCAGCCAAACCGGGAGCATCCTTAGGGATGGAGCAGCCAAACCGGGAGCATCCTTAGGGATGGAGCAGCCAAACTGGGAGCATCCTTAGGGATGGAGCAGCCAAACCTTCTCCCTCCAACCCATGCCAGTGTGCCAGCAGCCTCGTGGTGAGGCTCTTCCTCCCCAGACCCCATCTCAATCCTCCCCTCTTATCAGGTCAAAGCCATTATCCCATCCCTCCATCCCATGTCTCCTAGAGCCCCCCATAGGCGGCCCCACGGGCCGGGATAGGGGTTGGGATATGGGTTGGGAAGGCCTTGGCTGTGGAGTGGAGCCCATGGAAGCACCGATCCCAGCCTCTGGAGCCGGGTGCTCATTATCCTCCCACCGGATGGGCACTGTTGGGCTTTGCCTCATTGACCTCATTGTGGAGCTGAGCTGGAGCCAAGGAGGAGGAGGAGGCAGCTCGGGGTGAGGCAGCAACCACCCTCGCTCCGCAATTATCCCTCGGGATGCAGGATGGGGCTGAGCTGGGATCTGCAGGGCCCAGCCCATGGCTTGCAGGAGCCAAAGGCGCTGCCGGAGCCCCTCGTGGTGCTTCAGACCCAGTTGTGGGGTGAAGGAGCCGGAGACTCCCTTGGGAGGCTGCAGCCCTGGGATGGGTTGGGATAGGAGCTTCCCATCATCCGGATCCGACCCACAGGGATGCCTTCCATAGGGCAGCTGGCTCCAAACCTGCATCCCAGTGTCCCAGAGTGAAGAACTTCCCCGTGTCCAACCTGAGCTTCCCCTGGGGCATCCCCCCTCTCAAATCCCATTGAGTTTGGGGCCGTTAAGCTCTGCAAGGCTGGGACAGAGCTGGTTCTCCGGGTGGGATTGCCCGGAGAGGGCTTCTCGGAGCAGCTCCTCCTGCTCCCTCCGATGGCTGCAGTGCAGGAGCCCGGCGCCCGGGCTGGGATTTGGCCTGGGTGGCCAATGGGGGTGATTCCCATGGCACGGCGTTCCCTGTTGCCCAGACCAACTGCCTGCAGTACCTGGATGCCCGGAACACGCCGCTCCTGGACCACGCGGCCCCGTTCGTGGCGCGGGCGCTGCGCATCAGCAGCAGCCTCGTGGTGCTGCACCTGGAGAACGCGTCCCTGTCCGGCCGCCCGCTGCTGCTGCTGGGTGAGCCCGGACGGGAGGGGAATGGGGCAAGGGATAATGGGAATGGGGCAAGGGATAATGTGAGTGGGGCAAGGGACAGCGGGAATGGGGCAAAGGAGAGCGGGAATGGGGCAAGGGATAATGGGAATGGGGCACTGGGAGAGGGGGAATGGGGCAAAGGACAGCGGGAATGGGGCAAGGGATAATGGGAATGGGGCAAGGGATAATGGGAATGGGGCAAGGGACAGCGGGAATGGGGCAAAGGAGAGCGGGAATGGGGCAAGGGATAATGGGAATGGGGCAAAGGAGAGTGGGAATGGGGCAAAGGAGAGCGGGAATGGGGCAAGGGATAATGGGAATGGGGCAAGGGATAATGGGAATGGGGCAAAGGACAGCAGGAATGGGGCAAAGGATAGCGGGAATGGGGCAAGGGATAATGAGAATGGGGCACCAGGATAATGGGAATGGGGCAAAGGAGAGCGGGAATGGGGCAAGGGATAATGGGAATGGGGCAAAGGAGAGGGGGAGTGGGGCAAAGGAGAGGGGGAGTGGGGCAAAGGATAGCAGGAATGGGGCAAAGGACAGCGGGAATGGGGCAAGGGATAATGGGAATGGGGCAAAGGACAGCAAGAATGGGGCAAAGGATAGTGGGAATGGGGCAAAGGACAGCAAGAATGGGGCAAAGGAGAGCGGGAATGGGGCAAGGGATAATGGGAATGGGGCAAAGGACAGCGGGAATGGGGCAAAGGATAGTGGGAATGGGGCACCAGGATAATGGGAATGGGGCAAAGGAGAGCGGGAATGGGGCAAGGGATAATGGGAATGGGGCAAAGGAGAGCGGGAATGGGGCAAAGGATAGTGGGAATGGGGCACCAGGATAATGGGAATGGGGCAAAGGAGAGCGGGAATGGGGCAAAGGATAGTGGGAATGGGGCACCAGGATAATGGGAATGGGGCAAAGGACAGCAGGAATGGGGCAAAGGATAGCGGGAATGGGGCAAGGGATAATGGGAATGGGGCAAGGGATAATGGGAATGGGGCAAAGGACAGCGGGAATGGGGCAAGGGATAATGGGAATGGGGCAAGGGACAGCGGGAATGGGGCAAAGGAGAGCGGGAATGGGGCAAGGGATAATGGGAATGGGGCAAGGGACAGCGGGAATGGGGCAAGGGATAATGGGAATGGGGCAAAGGAGAGTGGGAATGGGGCAAAGGAGAGCGGGAATGGGGCAAGGGATAATGGGAATGGGGCAAGGGATAATGGGAATGGGGCAAAGGACAGCAGGAATGGGGCAAAGGATAGCGGGAATGGGGCAAGGGATAATGGGAATGGGGCACCAGGATAATGGGAATGGGGCAAAGGAGAGCGGGAATGGGGCAAGGGATAATGGGAATGGGGCAAAGGAGAGGGGGAGTGGGGCAAAGGAGAGGGGGAGTGGGGCAAAGGATAGCAGGAATGGGGCAAAGGACAGCGGGAATGGGGCAAGGGATAATGGGAATGGGGCAAAGGACAGCAAGAATGGGGCAAAGGAGAGCGGGAATGGGGCAAGGGATAATGGGAATGGGGCAAAGGACAGCGGGAATGGGGCAAAGGATAGTGGGAATGGGGCACCAGGATAATGGGAATGGGGCAAAGGAGAGCGGGAATGGGGCAAAGGATAGTGGGAATGGGGCAAAGGAGAGCGGGAATGGGGCAAGGGATAATGGGAATGGGGCAAAGGAGAGCGGGAATGGGGCAAAGGATAGTGGGAATGGGGCACCAGGATAATGGGAATGGGGCAAAGGAGAGGGGGAGTGGGGCAAAGGATAGCAGGAATGGGGCAAAGGATAGCGGGAATGGGGCACCGGGAGAGGGGGAATGGGGCAAAGGATAGAGGGAATGTGGCAAAGGATAATGGGAATGGGGCACAGGCAAGGGGGAATGGGGCACTGGGATAGAGGGAATGTGGCAAAGGATAGTGGGAATGGGGCACTGGGATAGCAGGAATGGGGCAAAGGAGAGCAGGAATGGGGCAAGGGATAATGGGAATGGGGCACTGGGAGAGGGGGAATGGGGCATTGGGATAGAGGGAATGGGGCACCGGAAGAGAGGGAATGGGGCAAAGGACAATGGGAATGGGGCACCGGAAGAGAGGGAATGGGGCACAGGATAGTGGGAATGGGGCACTGGGAGAGAGGGAATGGGGCACTGGGAGAGAGGGAATGGGGCATTGAGATAGAGGGAATGGGGCAAAGGATAGTGGGAATGGGGCACTGGGATAGCAGGAATGGGGCACAGGATAGTGGGAATGGGGCACTGGGATAGCGGGAATGGGGCACAGGATAGTGGGAATGGGGCATCGGGATAGCGGGAATGGGGCAAAGGATAGTGGGAATGGGGCACTGGGAGAGGGGGAATGGGGCACTGGGATACCAGGAATGGGGCACTGGGATAGCAGGAATGGGGCACAGGATAGTGGGAATGGGGCACAGGATAGCTGGAATGGGGCACTGGGATAGCAGGATTGTGACACTTGCAGAGTGGGAATGGGGCACAGGATAGTGGGAATGGGGCACAGGATAGTGGGAATGGGGCACAGGATAGTGGGAATGGGGCACCGGGAGAGAGGGAATGGGGCACTGGGAGAGGGGGAATGGGGCATCGGGATAGTGGGAATGGGGCACCAGGATAATGGGAATGGGGCACTGGGATAGTGGGAATGGGGCACAGGATAGCGGGAATGGGGCGCCGGGAGAGGGGGAATGGGGCACAGGATATTCGGAATGGGGCACCGGGATAGGGGGAATGTCCCACTGGCATAGTGGGAATGTGCCATCGGGATAGTGGGAGTGTGACACGGGATAGTGGGAATGTCCCACTGGGATTGCAAGAGTCCCATCCCTGTGCCCTGCATCCCACTGGGATACTGGGAGAGACTCATCCCAGGCCCCACAACCCACTGGGATACTGGGTGAGTCCATCCCCATGTCCCACATCCCATGGGATACTGGGTGAGTCCATCCCCATGTCCCACATCCCACTGGGATACTGGGTGAGTCCATCCCCATGTCCCACATCCCATGGGATACTGGGAGAGTCCCATCCCTGTGTCCTCCATCCCATGGGATACTGGGTGAGTCCCATCCCTGTGTCCCCCATCCCATGGGATACTGGGAGAGTCCATCCCCATGTCCCCCATCCCATGGGATACTGGGTGAGTCCCATCCCTGTGTCCCCCATCCCATGGGATACTGGGAGAGTCCATCCCCATGTCCCACATCCCATGGGATACTGGGAGAGTCCATCCCCATGTCCCACATCCCATGGGATACTGGGTGAGCCCATCCCCATGTCCCACATCCCACTGGGATACTGGGAGAGTCCCATCCCTGTGTCCCACATCCCATGGGATACTGGGAGAGTCCATCCCCATGTCCCACATCCCATGGGATACTGGGTGAGTCCCATCCCTGTGTCCCCCATCCCATGGGATACTGGGTGAGTCCATCCCCATGTCCCCCATCCCATGGGATACGGGTGAGTCCATCCCCATGTCCCACATCCCATGGGATACTGGGTGAGTCCCATCCCTGTGTCCCCCATCCCATGGGATACTGGGTGAGTCCCATCCCCATGTCCCACATCCCATGGGATACTGGGTGAGTCCCATCCCTGTGTCCCCCATCCCATGGGATACTGGGTGAGTCCATCCCCATGTCCCCCATCCCATGGGATACGGGTGAGTCCATCCCCATGTCCCACATCCCATGGGATACTGGGTGAGTCCCATCCCTGTGTCCCCCATCCCATGGGATACTGGGTGAGTCCCATCCCTGTGTCCCCCATCCCATGGGATACTGGGTGAGTCCCATCCCCATGTCCCACATCCCATGGGATACTGGGTGAGTCCCATCCCCGTGTCCCCCATCCCATGGGATACTGGGTGAGTCCATCCCCATGTCCCGCATCCCACCGGGATACTGGGAGAGTCCCATCCCTGTGTCCCCCATCCCATGGGATACTGGGTGAGTCCCATCCCTGTGTCCCCCATCCCATGGGATACTGGGTGAGCCCATCCCTGTGTCCCCCATCCCATGGGATACTGGGTGAGCCCATCCCCGTGTCCCCCATCCCATGGGATACTGGGTGAGTCCCATCCCTGTGTCCCCCATCCCATGGGATACTGCTGCAGGAGGGAGGTTGGATGCTGCTGTGGGGCTGCCCTACTCCCACTCCTGTTCCTGGGCAGTTGTTATCCCATGGATCCGGGATACATCAGAGCAGGATGGAGCTAATGGCAGGGTTGGGATAACAGGGACGAGCTCTGCCCAGGCAGCATGTAGCACCTTATTCCAGGTGGGAATAACTCAGGGAATCACGGAAGCAGCTAAGTTGGAAACGACCTTCAAGCTCAAGTCAAACCGTGTCAGCAAGGGCCTTGTCTCCATGGGCAGGCAACGGGAAAGGGGTGGAATCCCTTCCAGGGATGTGATTCCATCATTCCAGCCTCTCCCAGTGCCTTTGGGGGAGGAAATGATTCCCAATATCCCCCTGAAACCTCCCCGGAGCACCTCGAGGCCGTTCCCTCTCTGTCTCCAGACAGGAGCCGGGGCGCCCCTTCCCCACAAAGGCATCCCGGCCCTTGGGGATGCCCATGTGGGAATTCCATGTGGGAATTCCCTGCCTGTGGGGGTTTTGAGGTGCCCTTTTCCACAGCCACGGCGCTGAAGATGAACATGAACCTCCGGGAGCTCTACCTGGCCGACAACAAGCTCAACGGGCTGCAGGACTCGGCCCAGCTGGGCAACCTGCTCAAGTTCAACTGCTCCATCCACATCCTGGACCTGCGCAACAACCACATCCTGGACTCGGGTGAGGGGGCCTCATCCCTGCCCCTGCATCCCTCGGGAATCGCATCCCGTGGGGCTGAGAGACACCCCAGGGGGGCTGGGTGTGGATGCTGGGGGGGGGGACCCCAACTGAAGGTGGAAAGGTGGATGTGCCGGCTTTGCCAGCAGGAGGGATGTGGGAAGGGGGTGGAATGGGGGGATATGGAGAGGGGGGGCTGCCAGTGTGATGGTGCCGTGGTGTTCCCATGGGAATGATGTGGGAATGGGGGGGACAGGATGGGGGGTGCTGCCAGCGTGATGGTGCCGTGGTGTTCCCATGGGAATGATGTGGGAATGGGGGGATATGGGGGGGGGGGCTGCCAGTGTGATGGTGCCGTGGTGTTCCCATAGGAATGATGTGGGAATGGGGGGGACAGGATGGGGGGTGCTGCCAGCGTGATGGTGCCATGGTGTTCCCATAGGAATGATGTGGGAAGGGGGGAACATGATGGGGGGTGCTGCCAGCGTGATGGTGCCATGGTGTTCCCATAGGAATGATGTGGGAATGAGGGAACACGATGGGGGGTGCTGCCAGTGTGATGGTGCCATGGTGTTCCCATGGGAATGATGTAGGAATGGGGGGATATGGTGGGGGGGGGCTGCCAGTGTGATGGTGCCGTGGTGTTCCCATAGGAATGATGCAGGAAGGGGTTGGAATGGGGGGACAGGATGGGGGTGCTGCCAGTGTGATGGTGCCATGGTGTTCCCATAGGAATGATATGGGAATGGGGGGATATGGTGTGGGGGGGCTGCCAGTGTGATGGTGCCGTGGTTTTCCCATAGGAATGATGTGGGAAGGGGGAGAACACACTGGGGGGTGCTGCCAGTGTGATGGTGCCATGGTGTTCCCATAGGAATGATGCGGGAAGGGGGGGACACACAGGGAGGTGCTGCCAGCATGATGTTGCCATGGTGTTCCCATAGGAATGATGCAGGAAGGGGGGGACACGTTGGGGGTGCTCCCAGCATGATGGTGCCATGGTGTTCCCATAGGAATGATGCAGGAAGGGGGGGACACGATGGGGGTGCTCCCAGCATGATGGTGCCATGGTGTTCCCATAGGAATGATGCGGGAAGGGGGGGACACATTGGGGGTGCTCCCAGCGTGCCGGTGCCCTGTTTTTCCCCATCCTCCATCCCACGGGATGCGCGGAACCGCGGTGAGAACCAGCAGCATCCCTTTGGGAAGCCACGCTGATCCCAGGGGCTCTTTTCCAGGCCTGGCCTACATCTGCGAGGGGCTGAAGGAGCAGCGGAAGGGCTTGCTCACCCTGGTGCTGTGGAACAACCAGCTGACCCACGCCGGCATGGCCTACCTGGGAATGACGCTGGTGAGCGCCTTCGGAACGCCGGGAAGCGCCCCATCCCCATTGGAGACCCTGCCCCTTGTGTGCCTCCCCCCCACCCCACACCGCTGTGGGTGCACACAGGGCCTATGGGTTAACCCCACCTGGACCCCATGCTCTGGAACCCCCCCCACAGCCTCACACGCAGAGCTTGGAGACCCTCAACCTGGGCCACAATCCCATCGGGAACGAAGGCGTCCGCAACCTAAAGAACGGGCTCATCGGGAACCGCTCCGTGCTCCGCCTCGGCCTGGCCTCCACCAAGCTCACGTGTGAAGGTGGGGGCAGGCTGAGGAGCTCCGGGGCTCATGGGGTGGGGGGAAAGGAGAAGGTTGGGGGGCTCCATCCCCGGCGGTGCTCAAGGAGGAGGGGGTTGCCCCATGGAAGGTGTCCCCCGGGGGTTGGATCTGGGTGATGGCCAAGGCTTCCCAACACAAACCATTCCAGGGGGCCGCGATTGTCCCCACAGCTCCGGGGCCGTGGAGGACCTGACTCCATGCTCCCATCCCATTGAGCTCAGTGGGTGGTGGATCCCATTCCCTGCTCCCTCAGCTCCATGTCCCTGTAGGACCTGACTCCATGCTCCTATCCCATTGAGCTCAGTGGGTCCCAGATCCCATTCCTGCTCCCTCAGCTCCGTGTCCCTGTAGGACCTGACTCCATGCTCCCATCCCATTGAGCTCAGTGGGTGGTGGATCCCATTCCTGCTCCCTCAGCTCCATGTCCCTGTAGGACCTGACTCCATGCTCCCATCCCATTGAGCTCAGTGGGTCCCAGACCCCATCCCTGCTCCCTCAGCTCCATGTCCCTGTAGGACCTGACTCCATGCTCCCATCCCATTGAGCTCAGTGGGTCCCAGACCCCATCCCTGCTCCCTCAGCTCCATGTCCCTGTAGGACCTGACTCCATGCTCCCATCCCATTGAGCTCAGTGGGTCCCAGACCCCATCCCTGCTCCCTCAGCTCCATGTTCCTGTAGGACCTGACTCCATGCTCCCATCCCATTGATCTCAGTGGGTCCCAGATCCCATTCCTGCTCCCTCAGCTCCATGTCCCTGTAGGACCTGACTCCATGCTCCCATCCCATTGAGCTCAGTGGGTCCCAGACCCCATCCCTGCTCCCTCAGCTTCATGTCCCTGTAGGACCTGACTCCATGCTCCCATCCCCTCCCATTGAGCTCAGTGGGTCCCAGATCCCATTCCTGCTCCCTCAGCTCCGTGTCCCTGTAGGACCTGACTCCATGCTCCCATCCCATTGAGCTCAGTGGGTCCCAGACCCCATCCCTGCTCCCTCAGCTCCGTGTCCCTGTAGGACCTGACTCCATGCTCCCATCCCATTGAGCTCAGTGGGTGGTGGATCCCATTCTCTGCTCCCTCAGCTCCATGTCCCTGTAGGACCTGACTCCATGCTCCCATCCCATTGAGCTCAGTGGGTGGTGGATCCCATTCCTGCTCCCTCAGCTCCATGTCCCTGTAGGACCTGACTCCATGCTCCCATCCCATTGAGCTCAGTGGGTCCCAGACCCCATCCCTGCTCCCTCAGCTCCATGTCCCTGTAGGACCTGACTCCATGCTCCCATCCCCTCCCATTGAGCTCAGTGGGTCCCAGACCCCATCCCTGCTCCCTCAGCTCCATGTCCCTGTAGGACCTGACTCCATGCTCCCATCCCATTGAGCTCAGTGGGTCCCAGACCCCATCCCTTCTCCCTCAGCTCCATGTCCCTGTAGGACCTGACTCCATGCTCCCATCCCATTGAGCTCAGTGGGTCCCAGACCCCATCCCTGCTCCCTCAGCTCCATGTCCCTGTAGGACCTGACTCCATGCTCCCATCCCCTCCCATTGAGCTCAGTGTGTCCCAGATCCCATCCCTGCTCCCTCAGCTCCGTGTCCCTGTAGGACCTGACTCCATGCTCCCATCCCATTGAGCTCAGTGGGTCCCAGATCCCATTCCTGCTCCCTCAGGTCCATGTCCCTGTAGGACCTGACTCCATGCTCCCATCCCATTGAGCTCAGTGGGTCCCAGACCCCATCCCTGCTCCCTCAGCTCCGTGTCCCTCTAGGACCTGACTCCATGCTCCCATCCCATTGATCTCAGTGGGTCCCAGATCCCATTCCTGCTCCCTCAGCTCCATGTCCCTGTAGGACCTGACTCCATGCTCCCATCCCATTGAGCTCAGTGGGTGGTGGATCCCATTCCCTGCTCCCTCAGCTCCATGTCCCTGTAGGACCTGACTCCATGCTCCCATCCCATTGAGCTCAGTGGGTCCCAGATCCCATCCCTGCTCCCTCAGCTCCATGTTCCTGTAGGACCTGACTCCATGCTCCCATCCCATTGATCTCAGTGGGTCCCAGATCCCATCCCTGCTCCCTCAGCTCCATGTCCCTCTAGGACCTGACTCCATGCTCCCATCCCATTGAGCTCAGTGGGTCCCAGATCCCATTCCTGCTCCCTCAGCTCCATGTCCCTGTAGGACCTGACTCCATGCTCCCATCCCCTCCCATTGAGCTCAGTGGGTCCCAGACCCCATCCCTGCTACCTCAGCTCCGTGTCCCTGTAGGACCTGACTCCATGCTCCCATCCCATTGAGCTCAGTGGGTCCCAGATCCCATTCCTGCTCCCTCAGCTCCATGTCCCTGTAGGACCTGACTCCATGCTCCCATCCCCTCCCATTGAGCTCAGTGGGTCCCAGACCCCATTCCTGCTCCCTCAGCTCCATGTCCCTGTAGGACCTGACTCCATGCTCCCATCCCCTCCCATTGAGCTCAGTGGGTCCCAGACCCCATCCCTGCTCCCTCAGCTCCATGTCCCTGTAGGACCTGACTCCATGCTCCCATCCCATTGATCTCAGTGGGTTCCAGATCCCATTCCCTGCTCCCTCAGCTCCATGTCCCTGTAGGACCTGACTCCATGCTCCCATCCCATTGAGCTCAGTGTGTCCCAGATCCCATCCCTGCTCCCTCAGCTCCGTGTCCCTGTAGGACCTGACTCCATGCTCCCATCCCATTGATCTCAGTGGGTCCCAGATCCCATTCCTGCTCCCTCAGCTCCATGTCCCTGTAGGACCTGACTCCATGCTCCCATCCCATTGAGCTCAGTGGGGGGTGGATCCCATCCCTGCTCCCTCAGCTCCATGTTCCTGTAGGACCTGACTCCATGCTCCCATCCCATTGATCTCAGTGGGTCCCAGACCCCATTCCTGCTCCCTCAGCTCCGTGTTCCCGCAGGAGCCGTGGCCGTGGCCGAGTTCATCGCCGAGAGCCCCCGGCTGCTCCGCCTGGACCTGCGGGAGAACGACGTCAAGACCGGGGGCCTCATGGCCCTGTCCCTGGCCCTCAAGGTCAACCACTCCCTGCTGCGCCTCGACCTGGACCGCGAGCCCAAGAAGGAGGCGGTGGGTGCCGGGTGCAGTGAATCCCATGGGAATGGCGCGGTGGGGACGGCCTCGGAGGCACGGGAGGATGGGAGGAAGAGGGTGGATCCTGGTGGGGTGCTGAGCGCTGCCGGCGTGGCAGTGGGGTGCTGAGTGCTTCCCATAGAGCATTGGGATGCTGAGTGCTTCCCATGGAGCATTGGGATGCTGAGTGCTTCCCATGGAGCATTGGGATGCTGAGTGCTTCCCATGGAGCATTGGGATGCTGAGTGCTTCCCATGGAGCATTGGGATGCTGAGTGCTTCCCATAGAGCATTGGGATGCTGAGTGCTTCCCGAAGAGCATTGGGATGCTGAGTGCTTCCCATAGAGCATTGGGATGCTGAGTGCTTCCCATAGAGCATTGGGATGCTGAGTGCTTCCCATAGAGCATTGGGATGCTGAGTGCTTCCCATGGAGCATTGGGATGCTGAGTGCTTCCCATAGAGCATTGGGATGCTGAGTGCTTCCCATAGAGCATTGGGATGCTGAGTGCTTCCCATAGAGCATTGGGATGCTGAGTGCTTCCCATAGAGCATTGGGATGCTGAGTGCTTCCCACAGAGCATTGGGATGCTGAGTGCTTCCCATAGAGCATTGGGATGCTGAGTGCTTCCCATAGAGCATTGGGATGCTGAGTGCTTCCCATAGAGCATTGGGATGCTGAGTGCTTCCCATGGAGCATTGGGATGCTGAGTGCTTCCCATAGAGCATTGGGATGCTGAGTGCTTCCCATAGAGCATTGGGATGCTGAGTGCTTCCCATAGAGCATTGGGATGCTGAGTGCTTCCCATGGAGCATTGGGATGCTGAGTGCTTCCCATAGAGCATTGGGATGCTGAGTGCTTCCCATAGAGCATTGGGATGCTGAGTGCTTCCCATAGAGCATTGGGATGCTGAGTGCTTCCCATGGAGCATTGGGATGCTGAGTGCTTCCCATGGGAGCATTGGGATGCTGAGTGCTTCCCATGGAGCATTGGGATGCTGAGTGCTTCCCATGGAGCATTGGGATGCTGAGTGCTTCCCATAGAGCATTGGGATGCTGAGTGCTTCCCATAGAGCATTGGGATGCTGAGTGCTTCCCGAAGAGCATTGGGATGCTGAGTGCTTCCCATGGAGCATTGGGATGCTGAGTGCTTCCATGGAGCATTGGGATGCTGAGTGCTTCCCATAGAGCATTGGGATGCTGAGTGCTTCCCATGGAGCATTGGGATGCTGAGTGCTTCCCATAGAGCATTGGGATGCTGAGTGCTTCCCGAAGAGCATTGGGATGCTGAGTGCTTCCCATGGAGCATTGGGATGCTGAGTGCTTCCCATAGAGCATTGGGATGCTGAGTGCTTCCCATGGAGCATTGGGATGCTGAGTGCTTCCCATAGAGCATTGGGATGCTGAGTGCTTCCCATAGAGCATTGGGATGCTGAGTGCTTCCCATGGAGCATTGGGATGCTGAGTGCTTCCCATGGAGCATTGGGATGCTGAGCGCTTCCCATGGAGCATTGGGATGCTGAGCACTTCCCATGGAGCATTGGGATGCTGAGTGCTTCCCATGGAGCACTGGGATGCTGAGCGCTTCCCGAAGAGCACTGGGATGCTGAGTGCTTCCCATAGAGCATTGGGATGCTGAGTGCTTCCCATAGAGCATTGGGATGCTGAGCGCTTGCCATAGAGCATTGGGATGCTGAGTGCTTCCCATGGAGCATTGGGATGCTGAGTGCTTCCCATAGAGCATTGGGATGCTGAGCGCTTCCCATAGAGCATTGGGATGCTGAGCGCTTCCCATAGAGCATTGGGATGCTGAGTGCTTCCCATGGGAGCATTGGGATGCTGAGCACTTCCCATGGAGCATTGGGATGCTGAGCGCTTCCCATGGAGCATTGGGATGCTGAGTGCTTCCCATAGAGCATTGGGATGCTGAGCGCTTCCCGAAGAGCACTGGGATGCTGAGTGCTTCCCATAGAGCAATTGGGATGCTGAGTGCTTCCCATAGAGCATTGGGATGCTGAGCGCTTCCCATAGAGCATTGGGATGCTGAGTGCTTCCCATGGAGCATTGGGATGCTGAGTGCTTCCATAGAGCATTGGGATGCTGAGTGCTTCCCATAGAGCATTGGATGCTGAGTGTTCCCATAGAGCATTGGGATGCTGAGTGCTTCCCATGGAGCATTGGGATGCTGAGTGCTTCCCATGGAGCATTGGGGTGCTGAGTGCTTCCATGGAGCATTGGGGTGCTGTGTGCTTCCTGAAGAGCACTGGGATGCTGAGTGCTTCCCATAGAGCATTGGGATGCTGAGTGCTTCCCATAGAGCATTGGGATGCTGAGTGCTTCCCATAGAGCATTGGGATGCTGAGTGCTTCCCATAGAGCATTGGGATGCTGAGTGCTTCCCATAGAGCATTGGGATGCTGAGTGCTTCCCGAAGAGCATTGGGATGCTGAGTGCTTCCCATAGTGCATTGGGATGCTGAGTGCTTCCCATAGAGCATTGGGGATGCTGAGTGCTTCCCGAAGAGCATTGGGATGCTGAGCGCTTCCCATAGAGCATTGGGATGCTGAGCGCTTCCCATAGAGCATTGGGATGCTGAGCGCTTCCCATAGAGCATTGGGATGCTGAACACTTCCTGACCCGCCTCAAGTCTGGGGGTACCTGGTCCGTCCTCCTGCTCCCCAGCCTGGACCCTTCTGGGATGTGCTGGACATCCCTTGGGCTGGGAATCCCATCATCCCGGTGCTGATTCCTTTGGGAAGAAGCTCTTGAGGAGCTTGTTTCTTGGACTGCCGAGTTCCATGGGGAAGCACCAGTGCCACCGTTTGGGGTGGAGGAGGATCCGTTGCGTTCCTGGCTGGAAAAGGACCGCGGATCCCGATATTCCCAGTGATTCCCATCCGTTCCCTTGCAGGTGAAGAGCTTCATTGAGACGCAGAAGGCTCTGCTGGGAGAGATCCAGAACGGCTGCAAGCGCAACTTCATCCTGGCCAAGGAGAAGGAGGAGCAGGAGCAGAAGCTGCAGCAATCGGCTTCCATGGCCGAGATCCCCCGGCCGAGGCTCTGGAAGCGGCTCCGGCCGAGCCCATCCCGGATGGAAGCCCCGGATCCACACGGGATGAGGGGCAGGAAGCGATGGCGGCCGAGAACGGGGACACGGAGCCGGCGGAGGGGGATGAGGGGACGGACTCGGACACGGCCACGGATGAGGATGAGGATGAGGCCGCTGCTCCCTCGGGGAGGAAGGAGCTCCCTGACCCCACCGGCGGTGTCCTCGTGTCGCCAGCCCGAGCATCCCTGGGGATGCTCCCTCCGGCCCCGGGAACGCCGCGGCTCCCGCTCCATCCCATGGAGCCGAGAGGAGGATTTCGGTGTCGAGCCCAGGCCGGGGCCACAAGGTCTTTGTGGTGACGCGCGTGGAGCCGGGCCCGGAGCGGGATGAGGACGCTGATCCCAGCGGGAATACCGAGCCCCAGCCCTGCTCCAATGGAGCCGTCGCCGAGGCTCCCGCTGGAGCCGAGGCGCTTCCCAAACGGGCTGAAGGTGGATTTTGCACGGGCGCTTCCGGAGGCGGCCTCGGAAAACGATGGGAAACTGGGAAGTTGGGAGCAGAGCACGGTAAGAGCTCCGGAATCCGTGGGGACCCCCATTCCCCAGCGCGCTGCCGGAGCCCGGGATGAGCACGGAGCCGTTCCCTTGCTCCTTTCCCAACGGGATATCCCCGGGGCAGTCATTCCTGGGCAGGTTTTCCCAAGGGAATTCCGAGGCTGGGGTGAGTGGGGAGGTGCCCTTTGAAGTGGTTCCTAATGCTCCTCCGGGAGGAGCCGCACTGGATGCGGTGAATCCTTTGGGAAGCTCGCGGAGCCTTGCTTAGCGCTTGGGATAACGGGCATCATTCCTGGAGCACGTTGGATGGGAGAAGGGCTGGGAATGCGGGCTGGGAATGCGGGGCTAGGAATGGGGGACTGGGAATGGGGGGCTGGGAATGCGGGGCTGGGAATGGGGGACTGGGAATGGGGGACTGGGAATGGGGGACTGGGAATGCGGGGCTGGGAATGGGGGACTGGGAATGCGGGGTTGGGAATGCGGGGCTGGGAATGCGGGGCTGGGAATGAGGGACTGGAATGGGGGACTGGGAATGGGGGACTGGGAATGCGGGGCTGGGAATGTGGGGCTCGGAATGCGGGGCTGGGAATGGGGGACTGGGAATGCGGGGCCAGGAATGGGGGACTGGGAATGCGGGGCTGGGAATGTGGGGCTGGGAATGTGGGACTGGGGGATGCAGGCCTTGGAAAGTGGGACTGGGATACGGGCCTGGGAATGTTGGATTGGGAATGTTGGTTTGGGAACGTCAGGTTGGGAATGTTCGGAATGGAAATGTGGGATTGGGAAATGTTGGCTTGGGAATGTCAGATTGGAAATGTGGGATTGGGGATGTCAGATTAGGAATGTTCATTGGGTTGGTAATGCAGGACTGTGAACGTTGGGAATGTCGGGATTGGGAATGTCGGGTTGGGACTGCAGGACTGTGAACGTTGGGAATGTTGGGATTGGGAATGCAGGACTGTGAACGTTGGGAATGTCGGGATTGGGAATGTCGGTTGGGACTGCAGGACTGTGAACGTTTGGAATGTCGGGATTGGGAATGTCGGGTTGAGACTGCAGGACTGTGAACGTTGGGAATGTCGGGATTGGGAATGTCGGGTCGGGACTGCAGGACTGTGAACGTTGGGAATGTCGGGATTGGGAATGTCGGGTCGGGACTGCAGGACTGTGAACGTGGGAATGTCGGGTCGGGACTGCAGGACTGTGAACGTTGGGAATGTCGGGTTGGGAATGTCGGGTTGGGAATGTCGGGTTGGGAATGTCGGGTTGGGACTGCAGGACTGTGAATGTTGGGAATGTCGGGTTGGGACTGCAGGACTGTGAACGTTGGGAATGTCGGGTTGGAATGTCAGGTTGGGAATGCAGGACTGTGAACGTTGGGAATGTCGGGTTGGGAATGTCGGGTTGGGAATGTCGGGATTGGGAATGTCGGGTTGGGAATGTCGGGTTGGGAATGCTGGAGTGGGACGGACCCGGTGCCGGTTTGCTTCCAGAGTTGAGCTGCTCCAAGAACGCGCAGGAGCTGGAGGAGCTGCTCCTCGAGGCCAGCCAGGACACGGGGCAGAGCTGCCTGAGCACCCGTGAGTGCATCCCATGGGATGGGGACGGCCCGGGGATGGGGCTCCCCTCGGCCCCACGGCTGCGCTCCTCTCCGTGCAGGTCCGTGGGACGGAGGCTCCGGGATGGTTTTCTCCTCTTCCCCATGGAGAATCCAAGGCTGGGCTCCAGGACAAAGGGGTTCTTCCAACCAAACTCCTGTTTCCCCAGCCCATTCCCAGCCCTCGGCCTCTTCCCCGCGTTCCCGAGCGGAAAGCAGGACGGCAAAGAGGGAAAAGCCCCCGGATGGGTTCATCCCCATGGACACTACAAGGCACCTTCGCCTCCCCTTTTCCCCTCTTTCTCTATGGAGGAGATTCCCACACTACAGGGACCGAGGTGCGGAATTCCCGCAGGATTCCCGGGCCAGGCCGTGGCATTCCCAGCCACTCTGCTTATTTATTTGGAATTCCTTCTTTTCCTTTAGTTTTCGGGCTCTATTTATCATCAGCTGCACCGTTCCTGCCTGGGGATGCTCTTAGAATCCAGCAACTCCTTCCATCTCAATTCCTGCCTTTGGGAATACCGGGAAAACAACCCCTACACCCCCCCACCAAGCAGCATTGGTGGAGGTTCCCCCCCCCCCATCCCCCTCGCAGCCAAAGTGGGGAACCCCTCTTTTTGAGTGGGAATCAGGATCCAAAGCGGGGCTGCTTCCAGGTTGGGATTCCCAGCGTTGGGAATGCCGTTCCCAAGGGCCGGGCTGGATTTCTCAGGGAGGGGACGAGGACTCGGCGCTTTGTCTTTCTTAAGTGCAATAAATCTATCAGGGAGCCGGGGGGTGGCTTTTTGGGGGGGGTGGGGGATTGGTGGCAATGGGGGGGGCTCTATGGGGGGGGGGGGGCATTCGGTGGCATCTCTTTGTTAACACTGGTTTCTATTAAAGGAGCTGCATTCGGCTGTGGGGGCCCCCGGGCTATGGGGGGGGAAGGATGGGAATGGGACCCCCCCTATAACACAGCCCCCCCTGCACCCCACTATTGGTGCCCCCCAGTATTGGTACCCTCACTATTGACCCCCCCCATTATTGGTACCCCCCTTGCGGCCATTATTGGCCCCCACTATTGACCCCCCCCCCCATTATTGGTACCCCCCCCGCGGCCATTATTGACCCCCCCATTATTGGCAGCCTCCATTATTGCCCCCCTGCACCCCGTTATTGGTACCCCGCATTAGTGGTACCCCCCAATTGTTGCCCACTCAATTATTGCCCCCCCCCCGTATTGGTACCCTCCATTATTGATTCCCCCCCCGCACCCCCTTATTGGTACCCCATTATTGGTACCCCTATTATTGGTCCCCCCCGCACCCCCGTATTGGTACCCCCATTATTGGTCCCCCCCCTTCACCCCCTTATTGGTACCCCCATTATTGGTGTCCCCCTGCACCCCATTATTGGTACCCCCATTATTGGTGTCCCCTGCACCCCATTATTGGTACCCCCCATTATTGCCCACTCAGTTATTGCCCCCCTGCACCCCGGTATTGGTACCCCTATTATTGGTACCCCCACTGCAGTCATTATTGGCCCCCATTATCCCCTCTCCATTATTGGCAGCCCCCATTATTGGTCCCCCCCATTATTGGTACCCCCCCCTGCACCCATTATGGTACCCCCATTATTGGTATGCCCCCCGCACCCCATTATTGATATCCCTCCCCCACCCTCATTATTGGTACCCCCATTATTTGTACCCCCATTATTTGTACCCCCATATTGCCCACTCAGTTATTGCCCCCCCGCACCCCGGTATTGGTACCCCCATTATTGCTACCCACCTCTGCACCCATTCTTGGTGGCCCCCATTATTGGCCACCCTCATTATTGGTACCCCCATTATTGCCCCTCTGCACCCCATTATTGATACCCTCCCCTGCACCCCATTATTGGCACCCCCCTGCACCCATTATTGATACCCTCCCCTGCACCCCATTATTGGCACCCATTATTGACCCCCCCTCATTAGTGGCCCCCCTGCAGCTTGTTATGGGGTACCCCTGTTATTGCCCCCCCCCCCCCTTATTGGTACCTGCATTATTGGTGTGCACCCTATTACTGGCACTCCCATGTGTTGCACCACCCCCCCCATTATTGGTACCCCCCATTATTGGTACCCCCATTATTGATACCCCCATTATTGGTACCCCCCATTATTGGTACCTGCATTATTGGTGTGCACCCTATTACTGGCACTCCCATTGTTGGTACACACCCCCATTGTGACTACCCCCATTATTGGTACCCCCATTATTGGTACCCCCCCATTATTGGTCCCCTATTATTGATACCCCCCCCATTATTGGTACCCCATTGTTGATACCCCCCAATTATTGATACCCCCCCATTATCGGAACCCCCGTCATTATTGGTACCCCCATTATTGGTACCCCCATTATTGATATCCCCCCATTATTGATACCCACCCCATTATTGGTACCCCCATTATTGATACCCCCCCCATTATTGGTACCCCCCATTATGATAACCCCCATTATTGGTACCCCCCCATTATTGGTACCTGCATTATTGGTGTGCACCCTATTACTGGCACTCCATTGTTGGTACACACCCCCCATTATTGGTACCCCCATTATTGATACCCCCCCATTATTGGTACCTGCATTATTGATACCCCCCCATTATTGGTACCCCCATTATTGATACCCCCCCATTATTGGTACCCCCATTATTGATACCCCCCCCATTATTGGTACCCCCCAATTATTGGTACCCCCATTATTGATACCCCCCATTATTGGTACCCCCTATTATTGGTACCCCCATTATTGATACCGCCCCATTATTGGTACCCCCATTATTGGTACTCCCCTCATTATTGGTACCCCCATTATTGATACCCCCCCCATTATCGGTACCCCCCTCATTATTGGTACCCCCATTATTGATACCTCCCCATTATTGGTACCCCCCCATTATTGGTACCCCCCCATTATTGATTACCCCCCATTATTGGTACCCCCATTATTGATACCCCCCCATTATTGGTACCCCCCCCCCCGAACCAGGCATCATCCAAAGCACAGAGCAGGAGGTTGAGCTGGTTTATTATGGCTGACCCCCCCTTACATTGTCACCCCCCCCCATATCCCTCCCCTTAAGGGACCCTCTCCCCATGGCGGGTTCCCTTGTGTCTCCCCCAGTTCCACCCCATGGTGGCCTCCTCGTAGGGTTGGGACAGGAGCCGTCCCCCCTCCCTGCCCCCCAGAGCATCCTCCGTGGGTACCGATGGGGTCCTTGGATCCCGGCATCCCTCGGGATGCGGGCACTGGATGCCGCGGCTCTCCCGCGGCGGCCGCCTGGAGCCGGTCGAGCCCCCGCAGGAGCCCCCATCTTGTGCCGGATGGAGTGGTCCAGGTTGACGGTGACGGCGAGCAGGACGCGCGCCTCGCGGGCCGTGAAGGGGAAATCGCGCTGCAGGAAGCTCTGGAAGAGCTCGGGGTCCCCGTCCAGGCTGAGCGCGTTGTGCAGCGCCTGCCGCAGCGCTCCCAACTCGCCCGCGTGCTCCTCGAAGATGCTCCAGAGGGAGCGGGCACCGAGCCCCGGCTCCGCGGGGCCTTGCCAGGCGTCCTCGGCGCACTGCAGCGCCCAACTCAACCGGCACGGCCACCCGTCGGCCAACACCACCCAGGCGCCGCCGCTCGCGGGGCCACGGCGCCGGCGCCGCGGTGCAGGAGCAGGCGCAGGGATGGGGATGGTGTTGACGACGCGGCGCACGTGGGTGCCGCAGCTGGGGAGGTAGCGAGCCAAGGGGTCGGCGCCGTCGCGGAGGCAGTGAACGCTTCGTGGATGCAGCGCACGGCGTCGGCGTCGGCGGTGGCGTCGCCGCGGTCCGCGGCCGTGCCGTGGCCCTTGGCGCGGCGCCGCTCCACGTTGCGGGTGATGATGCGGTACAAGAGGTCCTCCCGCGTCTGGATGGCGGCGTCCAGGAAGTGGAGGCGGGAGCGGGCGCCCATCTCCGGGATGGAGAAGGGCAACGAGACGGTGCGGTTGAGGTAGAGGTACCCGTGTCGGCCAGCCCCTTCATGCAGCCCTGTCTGCTCCAGGCAGGGCACGATGACGCTGGGGTCCACGGCCAGGATGAAGATGAAGGGCGCGTTGGCGTCCGACAGCAGCGTGTTGACGGCGTTGAGCACGCCGGCCACCTTCTCCGGGTAGCAGAGCTCCAGGCTGGTGATCTCCAGCACCACGCGGAGCCGGCGCCGCTCGAAGACCTCCATGAAGGCCAAGAAGTCGACGAGCGCCTGCACCTCGGCGCGCACCTTGCTCATGAAGCCCAGCTGCGAGGAGAAGCGCTCGCTGTTGGTCAAGCGCTCGATCTTCTGCTTCTCGCTCACCAGCAGGTTCTTGACGATGGAGACGGCGCCCAGCACCAACCCGGAGCCCGACAGCGACGCGATGCCGCTGCCCAGCACCTTCAGCACCGGGCTCTCCTTGACGCCCGGCACCAGCAGCGCCACCAGCAGCACGGCCACGCCGGCGCCCAGCGCCGCCAGCATGCCCCACAGCTTGAGGCACGTGCCCCGCTTGAGCACCCATTCCCGCTGGCTGAAGCCCGAGGCGAAGCGGGGCCGCGAGCCCAGCACGTGGAAGACGCTGAGGGGCAGGGCCCCGAAGTGGCTGCGGATGCTGTGGCACAGCGCGGTCACCAGCCCGGCCCAGAGGCGGTCGCAGCCGGCGAACTGCCAGGCGCTGAAGCGGATGAAGATGAAGGCGAGGGCGCGGCGCCGCAGGTGGCCCTCGGTGATGACGGCGCGGTAGAAGCTCAGGTACCAAAGGGCCTGGAGAAGCCCCCAGCCCTTGGGGCTGCGAGGGCGCTGCCGGCCCCGGGAGCTCTCCTCGGAGGCTTCCAGCTCGGCCATCTCCTGGCGCATGAAACCTGCGGGGACGGGGAGGGATGGGATGGGATGGGATGGGATGGAAGGGGAGAGGGGAGAGGAGAGGAGAGAGAGGAGAGGAGAGAGAGAGGAGAGAGGAGAGGAGAGAGAGGAGAGGAGAGAGAAAAGAGAAGGGAAGAGAAGGAAGAGAAGAAGAGAGAGAGAAGAGAGAGAAGAGAAGAGAAGAGAAGAGAAGAGAGAAGAGAGAGAGAGAGAAAAGAGAGAGAAAGAAGAGAAGAGAAGAGAAGAGAAGAAGAAAGAGAGAAGAGAAGAGAAGAGAAGAAGAAGAGAAGAGAGAGAAGAGAGAGAGAGAAGAGGGAAGAAAGAGAGAAGAGGAGAGAGAGAAAGAGAGAGAAAGAGAGGAGAGGGAAGAGAGAGAAGAGAAAGAGAAGAGAAGAAGAGAAGAGAAAGAGAGAGAGAAGAGAAAGAGAATAGAGAAGAGAAAAGGAGAAAGAGAGAAGGAGAAGAGAAGAGAAGAGAAGAGAAGAGGAGAAGAGAAGAGAAAAGAGAAGAGAAAGAAAT